AGTGTGGTGGAGGCTCCTTCTTTGGAAGCTTTTAAACAGAGGCTGGATGGCCATCTGTCAGGGGTGATTTGAATGCAATATTCCTGCTTCTTGGCGGGGGGTTGGACTGGATGGCCCATGAGGTCTCTTCCAACTCTTTGATTCTATGATTCTATGATTCTAAGTGCCTTTTTCACTCTTCCTTTTTGGAAACATACGGCACAACCTCTCACTAAAAGCCCTCATCCTGCTGTGATTGGGCCAGCCTCTCAGACAAGGGGAGGGCTGTTTCTGAGACACCAAGTGGGAAGGGGAGAGCAGGCATGCTTGGCACAAGGCAGCATGGTGCGCATGTGCAGGTGAGGGAGAGCATGTGAGGCTGGAGGGAGGCTCGTGCAAGTGAGTCCCTTCAAGGCATGGGGGTTCTGTGTGGGAAATTTGGCACAATTCTGTTGTTGGTGGGGTTCAGAATGCTCCTTGATTGTAGGGGAACTATCAATCCCAGCAACTACTGCAACGCTCTCTACGTGGGACTGCCTCTGAAGACTGCCCAGAAGCTGCAATTAGTCCAGCGCTCAGTAGCCAGGCTACTGACGAGAGGTGGGTAAAGGGAGCACACAACTCCCTTGCTGCACCAGCTCCACAGGTTGCCAATTAGCTTCCGAGCACAAATCAAAGTGCTGGTTTTAACCTATAAATCCCTATACGGTTCCGGCCCAGTTTACCTGTCCGAACGTATTCTCCCCTATGAACCATCAAGGATGTTAAGATCTTCCAGAGAGGCCCTGCTCTCGGTCCCACCACCTTCGCAAGCGCGTTTGGTGGGAACGAGAGACAGGGCCTTCTCTGTGGTGGCCCCTCGGCTATGGAACTCTCTCCTGAGCGAGATTAGATCTGCCCCCTCCTTCTTGTCCTTCAGGAGGCTAGTGAAATCCTGGTTATGGAACGAAGCATTCCCAGAATAATGGCCGAGACTGGTTACAGACAGGCCTGTAGCGAGGGGGTGGTTTTAGGGGTTCAACCCCCCCCCCCACGAAATGTTTCAGATTTCTTTAAAAAACCTGGTTTACTCATGAATTTTAACTGGTTAACCAAATCCCCATGCTAAGTCTATGAGATGCAGAAAATTAAGAGTCCCTCCAGAACTGTAAGCACCATCTCAAGCAAATATTGACAATTTATTCACACTGTCATTACTTGCAGCAATAGCCGATGTAGTGAAGCAACCAAGTTGTGTGTGTGTGTGTTGAATGCTCTCATTAAGGAGGCCAGACTTGGTGGAGGTGGTTGACAGGGGCGGAGCTGCAGGCTATTGAAGGTTGCTCTGCCCCCTGCTGTGCTCTTTGCTTCAGCGTGAGCTAGGAGGCAGGTTTCAACCCCCCCCCCCCCGAAATTTTCAACCCTCCCTGAAATTTTCAACCCCCCCCCCCCGAAATTTTCAACCCCCCCCCCCCAAATTGTCAACCCTCCCCGAAATTTTTTTCTGGCTACGGCCCTGGTTACAGACCAAAGTGAGTGACCACATATGCGGACTGAGTTGAACATAATTTTACCTTGGCGATTTGATATATATGTATTTTATCTATACGTATTTTAATCTTGTATTGTTGTATAATGTTTTAACTTGTATTAGTAGCATTGAATCCTTGCTGTAAGCCGGTGTGAGTCCCTCTACGGAGGTGAGAAGATCGGGATATAAAAGTTTTAAATAAATAAAAAAATAAATAATAAAACTACAACTCCCAAATGACAAAATCAATCCTCGCCCCCCAACCCCACCTGGTCCAACTCAAGCATGTTTATGTCTGTATAGGTATAAAGCAAGGATGGGGAAAGTGTAGCCTTTGGGTTGCATTAACCCACAAGCCTTCTTCTTTGCTCCTGGAAACCCTGAGTATGTGGAGACGGGATTTTTCATCTGAAAATACAGTCTTGCTTATCCAACATAAACAGGCAGGTAGAACGCCGGATAAACGAAAATGTTGGATAATACAGAGTCTCTTACTGTTAGCTGTCTAACACCGCCCTAGACACCTAGAATACTAACAACAGAGACTCAATGGGTTAAGGCAAGGCAATGCCTCGGAGCTAGATGGGCCCAGCAGGAAGTGCCGAGATGTGGAAGGGGAGCATGAAATCACAGAAGGAATGAGGAAAGATGCTTCTGCTTCTGGTCCTGCCTCTTTTCCCCTGTTTCCTCCTTCCTCCTCCTCCTCCTCCTCCTCCTCCTCCTCCTCCTCATCTTGCTTTTTTCACTTATTGGGAAATGGAGAGAGAGTTGAGGAGCGCTCCTTTAATTGAAGGGGAAATGCCGGAGGAAAAGGGGGGTGTCGGATACCAGCATCGGATAAGATGGAATGGTGGATAAGTGAAGATTGGATAAGTCACTCTACTGTAACCCAAATGTGTGAACACCAGAGCAGCCATAGCCATTCTAATTTTTATGCCACTATTATAAAGCTGGGCTTTGTAGCCAAAAATGGCAAGTGGGAGTGACTTAATATCACTTCCGCTATCTTGTGAACAAGCTGGGAATACAAAAATTGCCCTTTGAATAGATAATCTATTTTAGAGGAAGTTTCTATGGAAGACTGTGTCCCATGTGTCTATCTGGATGAGGAGGAATAAGCTGAAGATCAATCCCAACAAGACAGAGGTCCTTCTGGTCGATCGCAAACCTGACCGGGGTATCGGGTGGCAACCTGTGCTGGACGGGGTTACACTCCCCCTGAAGTCACGGGTCCGCAGTTTGGGAGTCCTCTTGGATTCAACGCTCACGCTTGAGGCTCAGGCGTCGGCGGTGTCTGGGAGGGCTTTCGCACAACTGAGACTCGTGCGGCAACTGCGACCGTACCTCGCGAAGGCGGATCTGGCCGGAGTGGTGCATGCCTTGGTCACCTCCAGATTGGATTACTGCAATGCGCTCTATGTGGGGCTGCCCTTGAAGATGGCTCGGAAGCTCCAACTGGTCCAACGATCAGCAGCCAGGATGCTAACTGGAGCCCCTTACAGAGAGAGGTCAACCCTCCTGTTCAAGGAACTCCACTGGCTGCCGTTTATATTCCGAGCCCAATTTAAGGTGCAGGTGCTTACCTACAAAGCCCTGAACGGTTTGGGACCAGCCTACCTGCGTGACCGCATTTCCATCTACGAACCCACGCGTTCACTTCGGTCATCTGGAGAGGCCCTGCTCGTGATCCCACCGGGACAGGGCCTTTTCCGTGGTGGCCCCCCAACTCTGGAACACCCTCCCCAAAGACCTTAGACAGGCCCCTACATTGGCCGTCTTCAGAAAGAACTTGAAGACCTGGCTTTTCCGATGCGCCTTCCCAGATTAGGAAATCTCCACTACCAAGTCTCACAAGCACTTTATCAGAACCAATGATTGTTGCACACCGCACATCGCACTTGCCCTAGAAGCCCTTTATACACCTCCTGTCACATCAGCACTTTTAATCCTTGTACCCACCTTTTGGCCCGGCCCAGTTTTATTGTGTTTTAGTGTATTGTGCCTGTTGTTTACTTTGCTTTATTCTGTTTTTAATTGTTTGATTTGCTTAGATTGTATTGTTATGTTGTGTTGTTGAGGCCTCGGCCTGTGCAAGCCGCATCGAATCCTTCGGGAGATGCTAGCGGGGTACAAATAAAGTTTAATAATAATAAAAGTTTAATAATGTGCATATTAAGCAGTATGGGGCCATGGTGGCACAATGGGTTAAACTGAACTGCTGAATCTGCTGACCTAAAGTTCAAAGCCATGGGTCGGGGTGAGCTCCTGCTGTTAGCCCTAGCTCCTGCCAACCTTGTAGTTCAAAAATATGCAAATGTGAGAAGGTCAATAGGCACTGCTTCAGCGGGAAGATAATAAAGGTGCCCAGGCAGCCATGCCAGCAACACAACCAGGAGGTGTCTACAGACAACAGGCTCCTTGGCTTGGAAATGGGACAAGAGCACCTCCCCATGGCCACAGTTGAGCACTGCCAATAAAAGGGGAAGCTGGAAATGAAAGGGGAAGCCTTTACCTTTGTTCTGTGTATTTGTATGTCATTGTTATTCCACTGCATATTTGCCTGTCTGTGTATGTTGTAATCTGCTCTGAGTCCCCTTGGGGAGATAGAGATAGAGCAGAATATCAATAAAGTGTTATTATTATTACAGTAGAGTCTCACTTATCCAAAATAAATGGGCCAGCAGAAAATCGGATAAACAAAAATGTTGGATAATACAGAGTCTCCTACTGTTATCCATCTGACACCTAGAATACTAACAACAGGGTTAAGGTAAGGCAATGCCTCGGGGACAGAGCGACCCAGCAGGAAGTGCCTGGGTGCAGAATTGGAGCGTGGAAATCACAGAGGGAAGGAGGGAGGACGCTTCTAATTCCAGTCTTGCCTCTTTCCCCCATTTTCTCCCTCCTTCTCCTTGTCATGCCTTTTTCACTTATTGGGAATGGGGAGAGAGTTGGGGAGCGCTCCTTTAATTGAAGAGGAAATGCTGGAGGAAAAGGGGAGTGTCGGATATGTTGATGTGTTTTGAAAATGTGTAATGTAGATTTCAAAGTATGTATGTATGTTTAAAAATGCAATGCTATGTGCCGAGTGTAATTCCTGTGTGGAAAGGGTTAACTGAACCATGAAGAGAATCAGCATTCCTAGAGAGGTCACAAATCTTAGTGCAGAGAGCAATGGATGCAGCGTAGTGTGTAGTGCGTCGTACGTCATACGTCACTCTGGAATGCAGGAGGTGTGGACTAATACTGATAACAGCATGTTCTGTGTTCAAGATGTAGCTGCCAGATGGAGAGGAAGCAGTTTTACGATGTGCTTAGCTTCTAATGTAAATAAATGTACAATAAATTAGTTGATAGCCTAAAGGAGACTGTGATCGATGTGTGTTTCTTGCCTTGCTGTGCGGAGATGCCACTGACAGGATAAAAGTGTCAGATAAGACAAAATGTCGGATAAGCGAAGGTCAGATAAGCGAGACTCTACATTATTATTATTATTATTATTATTATTATTATTATTATTATTATTAAAACAGAATCCAACAAATCAACCCACCAAGCAGAGAGTTTATAAAAGGCATGCTATCATACACAAGTACATAAATAGAGGTTTGAAGACACACATATCCCGTTTTAAAAAGCTTTAAGCTAGGAAGAGGGATGCTTTGAAACTTTGACGGCTTCACTATCTTCTATTTGCATAATAAGTGCCTCCTGCAGGAATGTTATGGGAAGTTCTGAAGTGCAGCTGATTATGACAGTCTCCATAGTCACACCCTCAAAAAGAGTCCAAAGGTTCAGGCGCCGGTGTTGCTCTACATCAACAAACCATTTTCAGACGTTTTCCTCTCCTCCAGGGACAGCTCTTTCCCTCTCTCCCTCCCTCCTTCCGTCCATCCGTCCGTCCATCAAGCTGATGGCCATAACTGTCTGCTCTAGTCCAAGCTGCCCTGAAACACTTTACAATACAACAGGTATAGCTCACAACAAGGGATGATTGCATGGAAGATAGACTTCCCCCGCCAACAAAGCTCAGGGAGAACAGGGGAGGTTTAAGGGAGGTGAAAAGGTGACAGATAATACCATTGTCCCTGCAATCCAAAGTCCCACCCATGTTAACACTGCAAAACCGGGTTTCATTACATTGCTAGTCTCTTGTCCTGGACCAGCCAAACATAGTCCACTTTTCAGAACTCCATCTTCCATTGGTCTTTGCTTGGAGAGGTTGGAAACCAACTTGCTTCTCTCACAAAGTAGGCCCATCCCAAGAAGAAAGGGTCTGATGTATACAAAGTAAAGTCCACGGCTCCCAAAATGCTCCTTGGACAAGGAAGAGGAAAGTCTCTGGCACACAAAGCGATTCCTGGCTCTGAACACAGCACCGCCCTTCCAAGCTGGGCTTCTTCAGAGCACCTCGACATGCCAGACTTGTGTGGGTCTGTCTTCAGATGTGTCCCAGAGGATGGCATGATCATGGTCATAAGCATTCCCTCCTGTGCAGAAGAAAAGAGGAAATGGATGAGCAGAATATAATAAACACATTTCTCCCAATGCTTCTGTCTCCTTCCCCTGGTCCAACTATGGATGCAGTGGGAAGCAACAAAACTTACGGGAAAATATCCTTAGGTGTGATTTGGGGTTGATTGGGTGCCAGCTTTGCAGTTACAAAAGTTTGCATGGGCAAACTTGGGAGCTCCAGGTGTTTTGGAATTGAACTCCCACAATTCCTAACAGACTTGGGCCGGATTCGAACTGTCAACCTTTCGGTCAGCAGGTTCATCAGATCAGCGGTTTAACCTACTGCGCCACCAGGGGAACCTACTCTAAATAACCTCTTAATACTGATTTGCTTTATAGTGAAACCATGTTGGGTTGTTGTAGGTTTTTCGGGCTATATGGCCATGTTCTAGAGGCAGTTCGAAAACACGCAAATGTGAGTAGATCAGTAGGTACCGCTTCTGTGGGAAGGTAACGGCACTCCATGCAGTCATGCTGGCTACATGACCTTGGAGGTGTCTACGGACAACGCTGGCTCTTTGGCTTAGAAATGTAGAGGAGCATCAACCCCCAGAGTTGGTCACAACTAGACTTAATATCAGGGGAAAACCTTTACCTTTACTCTAATAAAGTAGAATTTATCATGGGTTTTCTTGGCAAGCCTTATTCAGAAGAGGTTTGCCATTGCCTCCCTCTGAGGCTGGGAGAGTGTGACTTGCTCAATGTCATGTCCATGGATTTGAACACCCAGGCTGAATCCATACTGCCATGTAATCCATTTTCAAAATGCAGATTAACTTATTTGAACTGGATTACATGGCAATGTAGACGCATATAAAACAGCCCCTGGTGGCGCAGCGAGTTAAACTGCTGAGCTGCTCAACATGCTAGACTTAATATCAGGGGGAAACCTTCACCTTTACTCTAATAAAGTAGAATTTATAATGGGTTTTCTTGGCAAGACTTATTCAGAAGAAGTTTGCCATTGCCTCTAGAACATGGCCATATAGCCCAAAAAATCCTACAAAACCCAGTGATTCCGGCCATGAAAGCCTTCGACAATACATAAAACATGTTGTTGTTGTGTGCCTTCAAGTCATTATGAAGACCTAGAGTAGAACTTATCATGGGTTTTCTTGTAAGACTTATTCAGAAGAGGTTTGCCATTGCCTCCCTCTGAGGCTGAGAGAGCGTGACTTGCTCAATGTCATGTCCATGGATTTGAATACCCAGGCTGGATCCACACTGTCATGTAATCCAGTTTCCAAATGCAGATTAACTTCATTGAATTGGACTATATGGAAACGTAGACTCATAGAATCCAGTACAATGAATTTAATCTGTATTCTGAAACTGGATTATATACCAATTCAGGTCCAGGCGTGGTGTCACAGTTCAGCATGCAAATCACTACACCACCCAGGCTCCTTCTCTTCCTTCTTGATGCTCAATCAGACTTCAATCTGTCTCCACTTGCTCCAGGCTTTACCTTTCACATCTACCACTTTGTCTTCAAACATCTGGCTGCAGATCCTCCCATAAGAATCGATTTGCCATGTTTGCTGGGGCACCCGGCTCTCGGACCATAACACCACCTTGGAGCCACTTCCTGCTGGACCGATCACCTGGAGGCTCATGTTGGGTGCAACCTAAAACTCAAGAAAAGTGAGTGTTTGCATTAAAATAGACAGAAGTATGCAATGATGTATTCATTACATTGCTGTTCCCCCCTTTCATCCAATGAGCCCAAACTGATATAAGTGGCTGGCTATCATCCTCCACACTTGATCCTCACAATAACTGAATAGGTCAATCCGAGAGCGCCTGGCCCAAAGTCACCCAGTAAGCTGCATGGATACATTTCTTGGCTCTCCTTCTTGTCATAGATATATGAGCTGTCATGATGAGCACATGCAGTTCAAAAGGCTCCATTGTTATCACTCAGCATATCACTAATATGTAAGGGCCGAGACAGATATTATGTTACTGACTCATGTAACCTCCTTAGACATTTTGAAAAAAATGAAAATCAGCTGGAGCAGCTGTCATGTGGAGCTTACAAATGACACAGGGAATTACTTCCTATTTCCCCTCCCCAGCTGTTTCTTCCTCTGCAAAACTGTTCCTGTTTGCTTTTTTGCCTATGTTATTTGGAGCATGAGTACCATTTCCTTCATCCTTGCAGATAGAAAGGCCATGGGAATCAATGCTGAGTGGAATTTATTTGTTTACTGTGTCAGAAGCAAGTTGAAGGTACAGTTAAAATACATTTAAAAACACAAAGTTTTTTTAAAACATGGCATTATACGAGGGTTGAATGAAAAGTAATGCCTCCATCTTCGTAACTCCTCAACAGATGGCAGTACTGGTATGCGGCAGGTACTGGCTTGTTCAGTAGACTCTCCTCTACAGTTCCATTTTGGCGGGAAGCCTTAGCATTGAACAGTTGTGTTGTTAAAGTGAGAAGTATGGAACCCTGCATACTTAAGCGACTTAAGCAACGTGCAGTCATTGAATTCTTAGCAGAAGGTGTCACCCCAAAGGAGATTCATCAGAGAATGCAAGCTGCTTATGATGATTGTGTTGATGTGAGTACTGTGCATTGTTGGGCGAGTAAGTTTAAAGATGTTCAGATTGGAACATCTGACTTGTGTGACAAACAAAGAGTTGGATGTCCTGTGACAGCAACCACCAAGTTTCACAAGCAAAAGGTTGACAGATTGATTCAGAAAGATCATCATATCACTCAGAGAGATATGTCAAGCATAATCGGCATTTCACAAGAGTGTGTGGGTCAAATTATTGCTTTGCTTGGCTATTGGAAGATCTGTGCACAATGGGTTGCGGAAACAAAGTGTCGACTTCTTCCATGACGGCTTCAGAAAACTTGTTAATCGTTGGCAGAAATGTATCCAATTATCTGATTATGTGGGAAAGTGAATAGTGGTAGTTAAAGAGCACATTCTAAGGATTATCTCTGCGTTTTATTTATTAAAATATTTCCATCCAAACCCAAGTAACAAAGGTGGAGGCATTACTTTTCATTCAACCCTCGTACTAAGTGTTCTTTGACCAGTAGCTGGCCACTTGGAGTGCCTCTGGTGTCACTATAAGAAGGTTCTCCATTGTGCATGTGGCAGGGCTCAGGCTGCATTGTAATAGGTGGTCTGTGGTTTGCTCTTCTCCATACTTGCATGTCGTGGATTCCAATTTGTAGCCCCCATCTCTTAAGACTGGCTCTGCATCTCCTGGGGCCAGAGCGCAGCCTGTTCAGCACCTTCCATGTTACCCAATCTTCTGTGTGCCCAGGAGGGAGTTTCTCATTTGGTCTCAGCCACTAATTAAGGTGCTGGGTTTTAACCTGCCACTTTTGGATTCTCACTTGCTGAGATGCTCCTGCGAGTATCTCTCTCTATCTTAGGAACTTGTTTCTTGATTTAAGCCGTTGGCATGCCAACTAATATCCAGAGGATGAGCCAGAGATGTCCATCCCTTGATCCTTTCATTATTTGCTGCTACTTCCCAATGGATGTCAGGTGGTGCAATACCAGCTAAACAGTATAATTTCTCCAGTGGTTTGGGGCGTAGACATCCTGTGATAACGCGGCACGTCTCATTAAGAGCCACATTTACTATTTTAACATGGTGCAATGTGTTCCACAATGGGCATTCGTATACAGCAGCAGAGTAGCAAAGCACAAGGGCAGATGTCTTCACTGTATCTGGTTGTGATCCCCAGGTTGTGCCAGTCAGCTTTCGTACGCTATTGTTTATAGCGCCCATGTTTTGCTTGATAGTCAAGCAGTGCTTCTTGTAAGTCAGGGCACAGTCCAGGGTCACTCCCGGGTATTTTGGTGCGCTATAATGCTCTGGTAGGATTCCTTCCCAAGTAATCCTCAGAGCTCGAAATGTTTTTCTGTTCTTAAGATGAAAGGCACATCTCTATGTTTTAGATGGATTGGGAATCAGCTGGTTTTCCCTGTAATAGGCAGTAAGAGCACCTAAAGCTTCAGAGAGCTTCTGTTCAACCATTTCAAAGCTCCCTGCTTAAGTGGTGATGGCATGATCGTCAGTGTAGATGAAAGTCTTTGTCCCTTCTAGCAGTGGCTGGTCATATGCTGAGTGGAAGCAGGCAGCCTAATAAAACAACCCTTCTTTACACTCAAGCATGCAGTTTCTCATGAAAGCAGCTCTATTTGTCAACCATGCAATGTTTAATTTCACCTTGAGATGAAAATAAAATCACCTTAATCTTGGATGTGTTTTGCATAAAGTGGGACACTCCTTCTTCTGCACTGTCATATAATCTAGATTATCAAAGTAGATAATCTTCATTATCTGCTTTGATCTGGATTATATGTCTACACTGCCATATAATCCAATTTAAAGCAGATAATCTGGATTTTATATGGCAGTGTAGAAGGAGCCGAAATGTTACCCCCCCCCTTGTGCAGTAGTCTTAACATTTCATCCCATCTTTTCCTCCTTTCCTCTCTTTTATACATAAAATACAAAAAGACAGGAGCAAGAAAGACAGAAAATTTCCAGATCACTTCATTAGTACCAAAAAAAAGTGGAAATGGATACTACAGAAACACTGTCAAGTTTTGGCAAAACTCTTTGAGTTGTTGTAGGTTTTTCTGGGCTATATGGCCATGTTCTGGAGGCAATTTTTCTCCTGACGTTTCGCTGCATCTATGGCAAGCATCCTCAAAGGTAGTGAGGTCACTACCTCTGAGGATGCTTGCCATAGATGCAGGCGAAACGTCAGGAGGAAAATTGCCTCCAGAACATGGCCACATAGCATGGAAAAACCTACAACAACCCAGTGATTCCGGCCATGAAAGCCTTCGACAATACATAAAACTCTTTGAGCTGAGTTCGGGGAGTTTTTTGGCAGGTGGGCATGGAAGGGATACAACAAAATAATATAATTATTGGAACTGACTTTACAACTATAACATCTTCTGAGGATACAATTATCCTCTGAAGATGCCAGCCACATATGCAGGCAAAATGTCAGGAGAAAATTCTGCCAGAACACGCCCATACAGCCTGGAAACCACACAACATCCTAGCAATTCTGGACATGTAAGCCTTCTACAATAGTTTAATTTCAGAGTCTGGAAATGAGGAGCTCAGATGTTGCTGAACTCCAGTCCCCATCGGCCTTAACCATCTTAGCCAATGGAGAGGAAAGGTGAGAGTTCTCAACTCTCTTTTACATGGAGACTGGATGAGGAGCCACCAGCATACACACCTGATTCTTGAGGAGTCCATCTTCATAGTACCAGATGGAGCTGCTATTGTCATGGAGCTCTGAGACCAAAACACGCCCAGCTTTCATGTCTTCAACATCATCTGGGACAGAGAGAAAGGTCTCCAGGCCTTCATTTTTTAATCGAAAGTAGATTCGTTTCTGGACAGTCGCAGAGAGGAAGACAAGATGGGACAAAAAAAGACATCACTGTTTATTAACCTGAGTCAGCAGAGGCTATTTGTTCCTGACTGTGCAGCAATCCATCCACAGCAGTGGTTCCCAACCTTTTTTTTTTTTTAACCAGGGACCACTTGACCAGGGAACATTCTCTAACATTAGCACCAAAAGGGTTACGAATCAGTTTTTGGTCAACTTTAGATTCGGTTTGAGTATTTCAGGTGCTGATACAGAAAACTGCATTAGTTAGACCACAACAGCTCTAGTTTCTGATACAGAACATATGCTGTCCAGTAGTTGCCATCTACTCACCCACAGAAAACTATATTTAATAATCTAGAGCAGATGTGGTCTAGCCAATGCCATTTTCTGAATCGGCACCACAAACAAGCCCAGGAAAAGGCCTAAAAATGAAGATATCAAGAAAAAAATGGTTGGACTGTATTATTAATTGTGGATTTTATTAATGCTAATTTCAAAAAAAGAAGGGGAGGGGGCTGATGTTGAAAAAAATACAAAAAGCAGAGAGCGAGACCCAAGAAACTATCCCTAGCAGCTTTCTTTCGTGTCCTCGCCTTACCTTCTCCATGGGGTGTTGTAACAGTGTAGTAATGATGAGGCCATGGACCCTATTTTAGTTCTTGTGGACCACTGGTGGTTCATGGACCACAGTTTGGGAACCATTGGTTCACAGTGACCACTGAAGGACTAGGAATGTATGGCACAGCTCTGCAGGATCCCATGTTCCCCAGTCAGAAAGGTTGCGGCTACAGTATCCCTGAGAGATAGCCAACCAGCCAAACAATTTGCAAAAAACTATTTTCCCCTGTTAGTGCTAACTGTACACTCTACAAAACTGAAAAGAGAGCTAATCTTGCTTCTTTGTGACCACCTTTTAGCTGTTTCAAGACAATAGTCGTGGCGCAGCTGGCTGAGTGTCAGCTGCATTAAGATCACTCTGACCAAAAGGTCATGAGTTCAAAGCCAGCACAGGTTGGAGTGGGTTTCCAACCAATTGTGTGTAGCTTGTTGTCGACCTTTGCAACCTGAAAGACAGTTGCATCTGTCAAGTAGGAAAATTAGGTACCACCTTAAAGTGTGGGGAGGCTAAATTAACTGATTTATGAGGCCATAAAGAAGACTCCAGCAAAGCATTCCAGCAGGGAAGCATGCGGGGAATGAGGAAGTGCTTCATCAGCGTCGCAGATGGACGATGAAAGCGACAGCTCCCCTGGCGGCCAGAAAAAGTTAAATAGCCTCTGTGTATGTCTGTATATATTTGTATGTCAAAAATTGGCATTGAATGTTTGCCATATATGTGTACACTGTAATCTGCCCTGAGTCCCCTGCGTGGTGAGAAGGGTGGAATATAAAAGCTGTAAATAAATAATAAATAATAAATAAATGTGTTCACTGTACATATCTACTACATATCTACCATCAATCTCATGTATAAATCGAGAGCAGATTTGGAGGCCAAAATTGTGGGTTTTAATATGATGTGTGCATATGTTGAGGGCCATTCTGTGGAAAAGGGAGAGTGCCAGTATAGCAGCAAGCCACCACTTTCCCACCCAGGAATGAAAAATCCCAGAAGTGGCTCCACAGTGGAAAGAGTAAAAGGGTTGGTGCTTCTTTGGGATTCTCTCGGGATGAACAAACCTCTTACATTTCACTCTACTCAACCTTTTAAAAATAAGGTTAAGTATTGACCCAGTTTTTGGGGATTAGGATTTTGATAAAAATTACTAGACTTATACATGAGTATATACAGTAATGTACAATCCCAAATCTACCATCCTTTAACTTAGACTCGTTAAGTCTCAATGTGCCATCCAGGGGAGGAAATGCCCTCTTCTGTAGATGCTTCAGATGCTTTTCAGTATCTCCTTAAAATCCATTGACCTGGTGATTTCACAGCTATTGTGTGTCACAGTCTTGCTTTTTTCAGTGTTTTGCCACTCACTTCCCATCTGCAAGGCAGCTAACTATTTCTTGTCCAGTCTAGGGTTATCTTATGCTCACAGAAGCTTCTGTCATTTAGTGGAATACCATTTCAAGAAAAATCAGTTCAGAAGCTGTATTGCAAGCATGGGCAAACTTTGGCCCTCCAGGCGTTTTGGACTTCAACTCCCACAATTCCTAACAGCCTCCTGGCTGTTAGGAATTGTGGGAGTTGAAGTCGAAAACACCTGGAGGGCCAATGTTTGCCCATGTCTGCTTTATTGCCTAGGAGTTTGAATATAATAGTAACAACAATAACAACACTTTATTTATATTCCACCCCATCTCCACAAGGGGACTCAGGATGGATCACAGTGCACATACATGGCAAACATTAAATGCCGTTTGGACAGACAGGACAGAAACATACAGAAAGGAGGTATGTTGTGTCGACGTCCAGCCTTGGAAGTTGTGCTTCAATCCAGCCACAGGGGGGTGCTGTCGCTCCATTCTGAATGACGAAGAGCCATCAGGACTTCCTCCTTCCTTTTGGTTGCCAGGCATTTTCTAATCTTTTTCTTTTATGGTGTCATAAAATACCTCCCCCCCTTTTTAGCGATACCTAATTTCTCTACTTACAGCTCTAAGCTGTTTTCAAACTGTTTAGGTAAGCAATGAGCTGGACTGACAGTCGGGTGCTCACACTGATTCAGGGCTTTGAACTGGCAACCTTTTGGTTGGTAGATCTTATCACTGCTGCTGATTTACCAGCTGTTGGTAGACCTTATCACTGCTGGTGATTTACCAACCTTTTAGTTGGTAGACCTTATCACTGCTGGTGATTTACCAGCTGTGCTAAAGCCCGGCTTTAGCACAGTTGATAAGGTACAGGAAGACACTTTAAAAAGTGGACTTTTAGGGGAAAATAGGGAGCATGGGATGCAAGCGTGATCCTTCGAGATCTTGGAAGGACTATCCCCACCTTACCTCAACCCGAACTCCTGGAGACTTACCTGCCTGATGGGGTAAAGTGAGCCTATGTGCTGGAGCCCACTGTAGGTCAGCCAGTTGGTGATCTCCATGCAGTTCAAGAGCCACTGGCGACCGCGGAAGTCATTGTGTTCACACAGTACCCAACTGCGCATAGGGATCGGTAAGGAAGCAGAACACAGATGGGAAAGGGAAAAAAATTAGCCAACTTCCTTTCATATCTTTTAGTCCTTTTCATCATGTGGAAACTGCACAGATCTCTATTCATTTTATTTCTGTTTGTAGAACTTATATCTTGACTCCAGGGCCCAAATAATTATAACAAACACAAACAAAATACTGGTAAAATCTCTTTGCTACACAAGTGTCTTTAAAAAAAAAAAACCTAATACAAACACCAAACTGAAACAGTGTAAACACATTTAAACATTACAACCATGCCGTAACAATTCCTTTTGAGGTACAATTGCTTTGTTTCTGTTTATAATCAGCAATGTTTCACATAACTGGTTTGTAACTTTGTACTGTTCTGAACTTTGAAAAAATAGCTAAAGAGCAACTGTATTAGACACTTTGTAAAAAACCAGAAAACAAATAGTTACTTTTCAAAATGCTGATGCCATTGGCTACTTCACAGAGAGGAGCGTGTCCTTGGAATTGAAACAGTGTCTAATTAGTTTTTATAAAGTAACTTTTCAAACTCTGGCACCATCAAATGTATCTGTCACTACTCCAATGTAACTCCAGTCAAATGTATATATATTTGGCTGGAGTTACATAGAGAGTAGAAGCATACGAGAAGATTGGCCTGTCATTGAACATCGAGAAAACCAAAGTGCTTTTCCAGCAGTCGCCGGCCAATCCCTTTCCAATGCCAGAGATACAGCTTAATGGTGTAACATTAGAAAATGTTGACATTTCCGCTACCTTGGCAGCCACCTCTCCACCAAAGTCAACATCGACACCGAAATACAACACCGCCTGAGCTCTGCGAGTGCAGCATTTTTCCGAATGAAGCAGAGAGTGTTTGAGGACCGGGACATCCGTAGGGATACCAAGGTGCTTGTTATAAAGCTATTGTCCTCCCAACCCTGCTATATGCCTGCGAAACGTGGACTGTCTACAGACGTCACATGCAACTCCTGGAACGATTCCATCAGCGCTGCCTCCGGAAAATCCTGCAAATCTCTTGGGAAGACAGGCAGACAAACGTCAGCGTGCTGGAAGAAGCAAAGACCACCAGCACTGAAGTGATGGTCCTCCGCCATCAACTCCACTGGACTGGTCACATTGTCCGGATGCCCGACCACCGTCTCCCAAAGCAGTTGCTCTACTCCGAACTCAAGAATGGAAAACAGAATGTTGGTGGACAGGAAAAGAGATTTAAAGATGGGCTCAAAACCAACCTTTAAAAAATCTGGCATAGACACTGAGAACTGGGAAGCCCTGGCCCTTGAGCGCTCCAGCTGGAGATCAGCTGTGACCAGTAGTGCTGCAGAATTTGAAGAGGCACGAATGGAGGGTGAAAGAGAGAAATGTGCCAAGAGGAATGCGTGTCAAGCCAACCCCGACCGAGACCGCCTTCCACCTGGAAACCAATGCCCTCACTGTGGGAGAAGATGCAAATCAAGAATAGGGCTCCACAGTCACCTACGGACCCACCAGAATACTGATCCTGGAAGACTATCCTACTCGGCCAATGAGGGATCGCCTAAGTAAGTTATAGAGTAGAGTCTCGCTTATCCAACATAAACAGGCCAGCAGAATGCTGGATAAGTGAAAATGTTGGATAATAAGGAGGGATTAAGGAAAGGTCAAATTATGTTATGATTTTACATATTAAGCAACAAAACATCATGTTTTACAACAGATCGACAGAAAAAGCAGTTCAATACATAGTAACGTTATGTAGTAATTACTGTATTTACAAATTTAGCACCAAAACATCGCAATGTATTGAAACAGCTGTGGATCCATGTGGGAGGCAGACTGCATTTGATAATACAGAACGTTGGATGAGGAAAGGTTGGATAAGCGAGACTCTACTGTATATTAGTATATTTGGTTGGAGTCACACTTAAAAATGTACATACACATTCAACTTAAGAACAAACCTTATAGAACCTATCTTGTCCGTAACTTGGGGAGTGCACGTAATAACCAACACCGTACAGAGAACACACAACCGGAGCAGTACTAAAAAGCTACCATCAGTGGTTTTGACGGAAGTGTTTGAGATGATAACACAAGTCTCATGTTCCCGTTTACTTACATGCCACCCTTCACCCTCACAGAGAGAACGTGGTTATTGAATCCCTCGGCTTGGAGGCTCCGTACTTCTGAATTGAGCTCGATCTCCTTCCCTTCAAAACACTCCAATCCATGCAGGAAGATGGAAGGCTCAGAAAAGAACTAAGAGGAAATAATGGAGAGGGATGAAGGGCAGAAGGAGTATATGGAGTTGAGAGCCAAAAAACAGCAAGGGCAGAAGTGTTGGGGGAAACAATCTTCTCAAGCTGGCAAAAAAAGCTAATGGGATTTTGGCCTGCATCAATAGGAATCTAGTATCTAGACCCAGGGAAGTCATGCTACCCTCTATTCTGCCTTGGTCAGGCCACAATTGGAATCACACTGTGTCCAATTCTGGGCACCGCAATTGGAAGGGAGATGTTGACAAGCTGGAATGTGTCCAGAGCAGGGTGACTAAAATGATCTAGGGCAGAGTTTCTCAACCTGGGGGTTGGGACCCCTGGGAGAGGTCATGAGAGGGTGTCAGAGGGGTCGCCAAAGACAATCACAAAACACAGCATTTTCTGTTGGTCATGGGGGCTCTGTGTGAGAAGTTTGGCCCAATTCTATCATTGGTGAGGTTCAGAATGCTCTTTGATTGCAGGGAAACAATAAATCCCAGCAACCACAACTACTAAATGTATTTTCCCCAAACTCCACGAGTATTCATATATGGGCATATTGAGTATCCATGCCAAGTTTGGTCCAGATCCATCATTTGTTTGATTCCACACCTACATCTCTGGATGTAGGTGAACTACAACTCCCAAATTCAAAGTTAATGCCCATCAAACCCTTCCAGTATTTCTGTTGGTCATGGGAGATCTGTGTGCCAAATTTTGTTCAATTCCATCATTGGTGGGGTTCAGAATGCTCTTTGATTGTAGGTTAACTATAAATCCCAGCAATTACAACTGCCAAATGACAAAAACAATCCCCCCTCTGGAAAACAAGCCCTATGAGGAGTGGCTTAGAGAGCTGGGCATGTTTAACCTGCAGAAGAGAAGGCTAAGAGGCGGGGCGACTCAACCCATTACGCAAAGTAAACATTTGCAGTATAGTTGATTTTGCCCAGGGGCGCTCTTGGGGGAAAATAGACCTTGACATATGCGAGTTGTAGTTACTGGGATGTATAGTTCACCTATAATCAAAAAGCATTCTGAACTCCACCAATGATGGAATTGAACCAAATATGGCACACAGAACTCCCACGACGAACAGAAAATATATATGAGTGATTGGTTGAGGGAGGGGGGGGGCGCCAAAATACTGTTTGCTTACTGTTGAAAATTACCTAGGGCCACCTCCGCTAAGAGGATATATGATGAGGGCCATGTGTGATGAGGGGAAGTCATAAGGAGGAGGGAGAAAGCTTGTTTTCTGCTGTCCTGGAGACTAGGACGCGAAACAATGGCTTCAAACTACAAGAAAGGAGACAGCACCTGAACATGAGGAAGAACTTTCTAATGGTGAGAGCTGTTCAGCAGTGGAACTCTCTGTCCTGGAGTGTCGTTGAGGCTCCTTCTTTGGAGGCTTTTAACAGAGGCTGGATGGCCATCTGTCGGGGGTGCTTTGAATGCAATTTTCCTGCTTCTTAGCAGTATGGGGTTGCACTGGATGGCCCACGAGGTCTCTTCCAACCCTATGATTCTAAGCCTCCTCTATATGATGTTTGTCTGTAATGTAATGTGTCATTTTATAACCTTAATTATATATCTTATTTGATTTGCAGTTTCCTTATCACTATATAGCTAAAGCAGTGGGAGGGACTGCAGGTCATGTGACTAACTCAGTGCTAGTTTAGAATATTCAGGTTTAAACAGCTTGACAGTTAGGGAATGTCAGTTGAGGAATGATGAAGTGTTTTGAGCCTTGAATGAGCTTGAGTATAGAAGTCTGTTGGCATGTAGAAGCACATGTTAGGAAGTTAGAAACTGTTGAGGCTTCCGCAGCAAACAGGAAAATGGCCAAACACCATTCCCTGTAAATGCAGAGAAGCAATCACTACAAAAGGCAAAAATGTGAGATTTCCAGGTGTGGAAATATCACGGTTTTGAGCTGAATACGCGGATTTTCACATGTCTGCATGTCCCTGCAATTTGAAATCACGGGATTTTTTAATCTGGGTTTGTTCCTGGGTTTCAGATGTTTGTTCCTGATTGGTCAGTTCCTAAAAAGAAGGTGACACTTGAGTAGAAGGCAAAAACTTTGTTTGTGTGCCAGAAACTTCATTAAACATGTGGAGGGCACATTTTCTCTGGCCAGGACAAAGTTGTGGCCCCTTAGTCAATGTTGTACATCTTTTCACAAGAAAAGCAATCAGGAACAGCCATGTATTATTATTATTATTATTATTATTATTATTATTATTATTATTAAACTTTATTTGTACCCCGCTAGCATCTCCCGAAGGACTCGATACGGCTTACAGAGGCCAAGGCCTCAACACAACAACAGCATAACAACAACAATACAATTCAAATCAAATCAAAACATAAATCAATAACAACAAAACATTACACCATAACACAGTAAAAACCAGGGCCAGGCCAAGTGATGGGTACAGATTAAAAAGTGGTGAGTGTGACAGGTGGTATGTTGGATTTCAGGGCAAGTGCAATGTGCAGAGAATCTTAAACTCTAATAAAGTGCTTCTGGGACATAGTGCTGGGGTTTTCCTATTCCGGAAAGGCACATCAGAATAGCCAGGTCTTCAAGTTCTTCCTAAAGACTGCCAACGTGGGTGCTAATCTAATGTCTTTGGGGAGGGTGTTCCAAAGTCGGGGGGCAACCACAGAAAAGGCCCTGTCCCTCGTCCCCACCAAATGCGCCTGCGATGCAGGTGGGATTGCGAACAGGGCCTCTCCGGATGAACGAAGGGAGCGTGTATAACCCAGGAATGGCACCCTTTTGCTTGATGTCACAAATACACAACCAAATCTGTCTGGACAGATGGTCAGGCAGCCAGGCTCTAAAAAGTGTCAATAATGACAAAGTTCTGTTCCTGGCTTGAAAGTTTGTGTTCCTGTTTGATTCGGCAGTGCTGACTTGGGCCGAAGTGGTCCTACCCCATAAACTTTGTTTGTGTGGCAGATACTTCATCAAATGCCTGCAGGGCCAGGACAAAGAACTGAACTTTTGCAGTGATTCGCTGCAGTGATTCTCCGCATATATGCATATCCGCATCTTGAGGGTTTTTTTTTAAAAAAAAAACTACTGAAGTTTCTGGCAGATGTCCCATGGTGGCCATCTTGGGAACCTCTAAATCTCACAACACAGCATAACGTCTGGACAACGGAGGCAGAAATCCTGGGACCAACAGGTCTGTATGTGGACCTCTTCTGAAGTCCCAGGATTTTTTTGCCCATTTAAAACCTGTGATTTAGTGCTGTCTGGAAGTGCCTCAAGATCTCCAGCACAACTTTTCGTTGAACTTCTACCAGAGGTTGACCATAGAATCGCACTATAGGCCTAAATATTCCAAGACTAAACATTTTAATCAAATCCATGCATAATCAAATCTGCAAGAATCAAACTCACATATTCAAGAGGGTCAACTGCATGTTGTTCTAAGCAATTTATGAATGCAAATAAGTATTAGAATATAATAGGGAAGAAGTAAAGGAAGGACCCAGAGAGTACCTCCGAGGTGACAACTTACAATGGGAACTTTCTTTAGTGAACCAATGGCTGTGGTGAAAAGACAACCCATGGAGCTCAAGGTTGGATACTCGCCTTCGGAAAGGACATACTGCTCACCAAAATACTTGGGGCCATCATACAGAATCCAGCTGAAAAGAGATAAGGAAACATATTCAGTGTAGCAAATCTGGCTCAAAAAACAGTATTATATGGGTCTACTACACTGACCATATAATATCAATTCAATTTGTATTATAAGTCAATGTGTTTTCCTAATCACACTATTCAGATGTATTTACCACATTCCGATAACGCAATGGGTTAAACCCTTGTGCCAGCAGGACTGCCGACCAACAGGTCAGCAGTTCAAATCTGGGGAGAGTGGGTTGAGCTCCCTCTATCGGCTCCTATGTGGGGACATGAGAGAATCCTCCCACAAGGATGGCAAAACATCAAAAACATCCAGGAATCCCCTGGGCAACATCCTTGCAGATGGCCAGTTCTCTCCCACCAGAAGCGACTTGCAGATTCTCAAGACACTCCTGACATTAAAAAAAAATCATGTTAATTCAGATGCCCTAATGATGAAACACCATTACCTTCCCCCATTGACCCTGCATGAGCGTGGGACAAAGTTCTCTGGAAGTGTTGGTTGATCCTCCTCAAAAGAGATATAATTCCCCAAGAAGTCCGCATCTGAGAAGAGAAGGATCTGGAGAACCAAAAGATCAGATATGAGTAAACCATGGATATAACAGCGATGGAAAATTTATTGCTGGAACATCTAGGAATATCCAAATGCCATTGACATACTATGCTTATTCATACACATTCCCTTTCCCAAATAGTCCTGGAAGCTGTAGTTCTCAGAGAGTGGATTTCCAACAGTCTCAACCACTCTAAAGACCCTTCTACACTGCCATATAATTCTGATTGTCAAATCAGATAATCCACATTATTTGCTTTGAACTAGATTATATGAATCTGCACCACCATATAATCCAGCTCAAAGCAGATAATCTGGATTTTATATGGCAGTGTAAAGTAAAGGTTTCCCCTGACATTACGACTAGGCAGGTCCAACTCTGGGGGGTGCTCATCTCCATTTCTAAGCCAAACAGCCGGCGTTGTGCATAGACACCTCCAAGGTCATGTGGTTGGCATGACTGCATGGAGCACCATTACTTTCCGACAGAAATTGTACCTATTGATCTACTCACATTTGAATCTGGGGAGAGTGGGTTGAGCTCACTCTGTCAGCTCCAGCTTCAACTGCTAGGTTAGCAGAAGCTGGGCCTAACAGAGGGGGTTTACCCCGCTCCCTGGATTTGTACTGCCAACCTTTTGGTCAGTAAGTTCAGCAGCTCAGCGGTTAAATGTGCTGTGCCACCAGGGGCCCTCATATGGCAGTGTAGAAAGGGTCTAAATGACAATTCCCAGGATTCTTTCCAAAAGGTCCAAGAAATTAAAAACAACATATGTTTGCATACATGATGATGTAAACATAATAAATAATCTTAATGAGTTAACACTTCTGTTTAGACGTATTACTGTCAGTCTGCCTTAATCATTAATCCACAACCGGGATTGTGGCGCAGCAGGCTGAGTGTCAGCTGCATTAAGATCACTCTGACCAAAAAGGTCATGAGTTCGAAGCCAGCCCGGGTTGGAGTGGGTTTCCAACCAATTGTGTGTAGCCTGTTGTCGACCTTTGCAACCCGAAAGACAGCTGCATCTGTCAAGTAGGAAATAAGGTACCACCTTAAAGTGTGGGGAGGCTAAATTAACTGATTTATGAGGCCATAAAGAAGACTCCAGCAAAGCATTCCAGCGGGAAGCATGCGGGAATGCAGAAGTGCTTCATCAGCGTCGCAGGTGGACAATGAAAGCGACAGCTCCCCTAGCTGCCAGAAAAAGTTAAATAACCTCTGTCTATGTCTGTATATGTTTGTATGTCAAAATTGGCATTGAATGTTTGCCATATATGTGTACACTGTAATCCGCCCTGAGTCCCCTGCGGGGTGAGATGGGCGGAATATAAAAGCTGTAAATAAATAAATAAATAATACAGTGTTTCTCAACATCTGCTCCTCCAGATGTTTGGACTTCAGCTCCCACAATTCCTAAGAACTGGTAAGATGGCTGGGGTTTCTGAGAGTTGAAATCCAAAACATATGAAGAAGCAGAGTTTGAGAAACTCTGTTCTAGTAGATCCAAGCAAAACGCAGTTTCCATTAGAAATATTTTTGTTGTTGAGTACCTTGGTTCGAAATTCCAGTGCTTACCTTAGATACAAAGTGTAGGCTGTGCTCTCCAACCTGGAAGTGCATGAGAAAGGAGACAAATTAAGAGATGTGATTAATAATATAATTTTTAGATGTGGTTACAGAATTGTGTAAACTGTCTGACTGGCCAAACCACTTCTGTGCATCCCTTGCTGAAGAAAACCCTATGTAATTCACAGAGTTGTCATAAGTCAACAGGTGACTTTAAGGCACATACAGAGACCTAGAGATGTCATGAATGAAACCTAGCATCTTTTGCACATGCAAAAAAAGTGCTCAACTACTCAGATATGGCTTCCAATGCAAAAATAAAGTTTCAGTCCTCAGGATTCAGGAGCATGCAAAGTGGTCTTCCACAGGTGCAGATCAAACCACCTACTCTAGTATTGCTATCAAGTTTCCAATGGGAGTTTGTGTTGTATGTCAGCCTGTTCAGCCTGTGATTGTGTCTGATGTTCATGCTGATGTTCATGATGGGAATTGAGATTATTTCCTGATGGCGGGCCTGGTTCTATTGGCAATGGGGATGAGGGTTTGCCTAGGCCTGAGTTAAGGTCAGATGAGAGACCTGAGCTGTCTCAGTAAAGTTCCCAAGGCCGCATTCTTGGGAGAGGCCTCCATAGCTTTTCTCAGAACAACTGTCTGAGGATGATTTGTCAGGTGCTGAAGTTAACAGGAGTCAAGATAATGAGAGCATAGATAGAAAGCAAAGCTTTTGTAAACAAAGAGATAGTGTTCAGAGGCAAAGATGATCAGTTTGTTTACAGGAAAAGAGAGATAAAAAAAACTTTATCTAGTGGTAAGGTCAAGAGAAATGCTTTCCTTTCAGTTTTGGGATCTGAAAATATTGAGTCATGGGAAAGAATTGCCTTAGTTGGGTCAACGTTGGAATTTCATGTCAGTCTTGCTTTCAAGTGCTCTTACTTTCATGTACCAAGTTTTTGGCAAGCTCCAGATTTGTGTATGGGATTTTTTTCCTGCTGCCTTGTTTCATGGGTTTATGTGCCTAGTTTCATGGACTTTTATGAACCTATGGATCTTGTTTTGTCTTGAAGCTTATGGACTATTTTATGTATTGGAACTTTACTGTTTTTGCTATTTTTACTGCTTTGCCTGCATATATTCTTCAATAAACTGCTTGCTGATTTTACCAAGCTAGTGTGGTGTTTAAGGTCAGAGGTGTTCCTGCCCTGGTGTACAGCAGAGAGGGCTTTTCCAGAGAAGCCATATATCCCAGAATCTGATCCCAGGTTTTCTGCTTTAGATCTTGGGATATAGGACCTGTCTGGAAGGGCCCTGAGAATGCTGAAAATTAAATCAATGCAAGGCAGGTGCCCTACCACTGGGTTGCATGAAAACACCACACTTCCTGGAGATGATCATGAAGACAGAACTGTTGGAGGGGATGGAGCTCATATTTAAAAACAATGAAAGGGGTGAGACACAAACTTGTATTGAAATGTGTGACTCGGTGCCAGTTCTCCAGACTGAAGCAATATAAGGGATTTGGGGATATAATTTTGAACCACTGATAGATGGATGCAGCCTTCTAGATTCTGACCTGGAGGATGGGTTGCACTGAAGAGATCTGGCAGTTGTTTGCTCCCCAGTCTTCACAGTTGCGGTAGACTCCTTTCTCCAGGATAAACTGCTCCCCAGAGAAGTTCTTGCCTTCATAGGCCACCCACCTGGCCATGAGAGCAAAATGGCATCAATCCTGATGTTAATGACCCAGTTTCCAAAGCATTGACAACTTATTGAGCATTCTGTAAGTGAAACCATTTCTTTGCAACCTTGGAGCCAGACCAGTTCCGGAACATAAACAGTCTACAGATGTCCATGGTCATAGCTCCGATTCTCAGTCCCCGTGTATATCCTTGCTTTACTTATCATCCTACAAACATGTGGCATTAAAACTCTACCCATCCCCAGGCAGGATCATGTACGTGTTGGCTTTGGATTTGTCTTCCATTGGGCCGGATTGGTTACAAAGCATTCTTATACAACCCACTGTCCTTTGACTATTTAAGCAGTTGCTTACATCTAGATGTGTGCCTGGTTTTTCCAACTAGCCTCCCAATGATGTTCCCTTCCTCTTTAAATTATTTCCCTCAGCCTTTTCATGAGCAAAACTCACACTCCGTTCTGAACATGGATGGACTGTGTCGTGGTCCCGTAATTGGCCAGTTCGACATCCGGCAGGGCTTCACTAAGCTCAATACTGGGACCCTCTTCAAAGTCCATGGCTTCAAACAGAACAAGGGCAGGGTCCAAGAAGTCCTGCCGAGGGAAGAAACATTGAAGACAAATGTGTCATGACACTATGTGAAATCACAATTATACCACATTGCTAGAAAGGAATCACTAATATTAAAAGATGTTACAAACAAAAATCCAAGTATTAGACCAGCTTTAGCACATCGGGTTAAACCTCCAGCTGCAGAAAATCTTGCTGACTGACAGGTCGACAGTTTAAGCCTGGGTTGGTGTGAGCTCCCAACCGTCAGCCCAGCTTCTGCCCATATAGCAGTTCAAAACAGTAATGTAAGTAGATAAATAGGTACCACTTTGGGAGGGAGGTAATAAAAAGGCGCCCATGCGGACATGATAGCAATTCGATCAGGAGAGTGTCTAAGGACAACAAAGCTCCTTGGCATGGAAGATGGAGCAACAGCACCCCTTGTGGGCAGAGTCGAGCACAGTCTCCAGATGCCAGATATGGGAAAAGATGGGAAGCCTTTACCTCTGTTTATGTACTGTCTGCCTTTGTTAATTGTATAACAGCATTGAATGTTTGCCATATATGTGTACTGTAATCCGCAATGAGTCCCCTTGGGGAGATAGGGCAGAATATAAATAAAGTATATTATTATTAATAATTATTATTAGTGTAGATGCTGTTATTATTCCAATAATTTCTATTTCACCTGTCCAAAGAAACAATTCTTTAAACATTCACAAATTTAATTTTAATTTTAAAATAAAATATAAAATAATAACCATGCTGCAAATCTAATTGTTATTCTCACAGGAATTAATAAATAAATGTAACATACAATACATAACGATGCTGTGTCTATGTGGAATGGAAGGAAAGGAAAGGAAAGAAAAAGAGGTTTTTAACAGAAATCATTTTTATTGTTAAGCTAGTGGATTGACTACATTTTTGGTTTGTCTGTTTTCTGCAGAAAGATAAAGATCCTACGGTTTAACAACTCTGGAGCATGAGACATATAATTGCCCACGAGAGAAGCAATTGTTTTCTAAATTCAAACCGCATGCTTGCAAAGATTTCCCCTGTGCTTTATTGATAGTCAAAGTGAACGCAAGGCCTACTGGAAACTGAAGTAGTTAGTACTTGTATGCCATGTCCGTCGGAACGAGTGGTATGCCTCTCGCAACCAAACACAGCTCAGCTTTCATTTCTTATACTGCTGTGGTGAAATGACAGCTGCTCTGTGATTGGGTAGTTTTTTTATACTGCTGAGGTATAATGAAAGCTGAGTTGTGATTGGTTGTTATTTTTTATACTGCTGAGGTCAAATGTAAGCTGCTTAGGTTGTCATTTCTTTTACTGCTGGGGTAAAAGGAAAGCTGTGCAGCGATTGGTTGCTAGAGCTCAGTTTGCATTGCTTATTCTGCTGAGGTAAAATGAAAGCTAGGCTATGAGTGGTTGCTTTGGGCATCACAGATTCCACTATGTTTATTACCAGGCTGCTAGTTTTACGCTAAATACAGACTTGTATTCAAATGCAACGTTTTGTGAAAATTTCATTTTACTATAAAATATGCATGTATTGGAATGCCACATTGTGTCAAAATCAACTGACTACTTTTCGAGTTTTGTGAGCACAAACATATGCAGGCTGAGATTTTATATATAAAGATTATTAAAAATAGTGTGTATAGAATTACCTTCAGGCTGTGTACATAAGGTGTATATGAAACAGAAAGGACTTTCATGTTTAGACTTGGTTGCCATGCCCAAGATATCTCTATGCATATTCAAGTATTCCAACATAAAAAAAAAATCCAAAATATTGAATACTTTGAGTCTCCAGTATTTCAGATAAGGGATACTTATCCTTTACCTCAGTTGGCACTAACCTTAGGTTTAGGTTAATACAACTACCTGTCTGAATGCATCTCCTCAAGATCTTAACCATCAAGGACATTAAGATCTTTTGGAGAGGCCCTGCTTTCGGTCCCACCACCTTCACAGTTGCGTTTGGTGGCGACGAGAGACAGGGCCTTCTCTGTGGTGGCCCCCCGGCTATGGAACTCCCTCCCTGGAGAGATAAGGTCTGCCTCCTCCCTCTTGTCATTCAAGAAGCAACTAAAATCCTGGCTCTGGAATCAGGCATTCGCAGATTGATGGATGACCCGGTATTGACTAAGAGTTAATGGACAACAACAATTGGATTGAGTTGGATGACTTTTTAACTTGATGAATTGCTTTTTATATATATTTTAGAACTTATTTATTGTGTATGTTGTTTTATGATATTTATTGTATAGAATTGAATTTTTGCTGTTAGCCCTTCTGAGTCCCTCCATGGAGGTAGAGAAGAACAGGATACAAAAGTTTGAAATAAAATAAATAAATAAACAAACTACAAACAGTAAAAATGTTGCAATGGGAATAGATGTCATAAAAATCCCTCTCCATTTCTGTGATCATGTGAACTATGATTTATGATTGTTCTTGAAGCAACTGGACCTGGGAAACCATTTCAAATCATAGCTCCATCCCTAGCTTCCCCATCTGGTTTGGAGGATAAGGTCAACCACCGGTACTGATTCAACCAGAACAATTAAATGACGGTTTGCTCAAAAAGAAAGAAAGTGGTGTGAAGCATAGAAACAAATAGGAAGGAAGAAGGAGAGCATAAGATTAGTCTTAGTTCGACCATATTGTTTTTAGATCATTTGGAAACTGCTATGTAGCAATTCTTCCGCCACTTCTGTCTCTTCCCAATAGATTTGTCCACTGGCACTGGCTTCAACTAGCACTGACATATTTGTCACAAATAAGGAAAAGTTTGTTCTCCCAGGGTCCTATATCCCAGGATCTGATCCCAGATTTTCTGGCAGTGGAGACTCATATAATCCAGGTTAAAGCAGAAAACCTGGGATCAGATCCTGAGATATAGGGACTGTCTCGAAGGGCTCCCAGTGCTGCAAATCTTGCATCCCCACCCCCAGGAGTAGGAATGCATTCTCACCGTTCGGATCAGCCGAAGGGACATCAGGCGTTCATTGTACCCTCCCCACTGGTTCCAGTCATTGTACTCTCCTTCCTCCAGCAGGTACTGGTGGCCACGAAAACCTTCCTTCTCGTAACCAACCCAGCTGAAGAGAGAAACAGTCTGGCATTAGGAGCAGGATGGACAGAGGGAAAGGCAATTAATCTCCCTTACCTTCTGCACGAGGCTTCCCAAATCTCAGGCCTGGCCCTGAGTCTCGGTGCTCTTCTCCAGTCCTTAGGCGAGGGGAGAAATATCAGGTTGAGAGCACTGCCATGAAAAAGGCCTGCACTTTTTTTAATTCAGTGTATTATCATGCTGATTAACATCATTGAGATATTCTTCTTGTTGTGACATCATCCTTGCAATATCAGCCAGACCTACTCTCTGTGACATCAGCAGGACTCATTCATCCATCTCTAATTTTGGTCCTGAGCTTTCAGGACCAGGGAAACTGCTGATTTGACAAACCTATTCTGGGTGTATTATTATCTCTGTCCCTTCTCTTGCATAGCCCATGGGACAAGAAGCAACATTATTTGCTCCAATTTTATTTATTTATTTATGTATTTATTTTTATTTTATTTCGAATATTTGTACCCCGCCCAGGCCCGTAGCCAGGATTTTGTTTCGGAGGGAGCTGTTTGATTCGGGGAGGGGGGGCTGAGTCTGAGTGAAAGAGGGACTACCTTAGCAAACCTTTTGTATCGTTACACCAATACCCCCATGCATATGGGATATATTGAGCATAGTGATCAGATCATGATATGAATAAACATAACAGTTTGAATAATGTACCAGTAAGGCCTTCTCGCGGACCACTATGAGGATTTCGGGGGGGGGGGGCTGAAGCCCCCCAAGCCCCCCCTGGCTACATGCCTGATCCCACCCTTCTCAGCCCCCTGAGGGGGGGGGAGGGGACTTAGGGCGGCTTCCAATTGGCAGTAATTTGATGCCTCAATATATACCGTATATTCCAGCATATAAGACGACTGGGCGTATAAGACACCCCCAACTTTTCCAGTTAAAATATAGAGCTTGGGATATACTCGCCGTATAAGACTACCCCTCTTCCAACACACACCAAATAAATTTTTTAAAAGCTTCAGATTTGATTTCCATATGGTAATTTTCCTATCACTGTACCTCCTTCTCTGCCTCTCAGATCTTGCACATGCGCACCTGCACCACTTCACTGCAGTCTTCAGGAGCAAGATCTGAGAGGCAGAGGAGGAGGTACGGTAATAGAATACAAGGGCGGGCCAGACAGGCAAAAGAGTTGTGTTTATCTGGGCCCAAAGCCACTCTATCTCTTTTTTCCATACCTCGTGCACCTGCAGCTTGCTCCGCCCTTCACTTACACCTTCCCAGTGAGGCGCCGCTTCACCTGACCATCGGGACCGCATTAAGTCCATGAATCCTGATTAATGGATTTTCTTCTACCGTATTTGTACAGCATCGCCCTTAATGCTTTGATACAGTCGCTGCATATGGCAGGGACGCGGCCACTGCCATTTTTGAGCTCCCCCACAATATGCATCAACCACAGATTTTCCAATCCGGATTGGAAGTTTCAGCACCTGCGCTATAAGATGACTCCTGACGTATAAGACTACTCCCATATATAAGATGACTCCCATGCATAAGGCTACTCCCACATATAAGATGACCCCCATGTATAAGACTACTCCCACGTATAAGACAACCCCCATGTATAAGACGACCCCTGACTTTTGAGAATATTTTCTTGGGGTATTTTTTTTTTGTCGTGTCAGGAGTGACTCCTGGTGTGAGAGAATTGGCCGTCTGCAAGGACGTTGCCCAGGACGCCTGGATGATTTGATGTTTTTATCATCCTTGTGGGAGACTTCTCTCATGTCCCCATATGAGGAGCTAGAACTGATAGAGGGAGCTCATCCGCCTCTCCCCGGATTCAAACCTGCGACCTGTCGGTCTTCAGTCCTGCCGGCACAGGGGTTTAACCCACTGCGCCACCGGGGGCTCCATTAAAAAGTAGTCTTATACACCAGAATATATGGTACATAATAAAAACAAACAGTCAATAATTATGAATAGTTAAAAATATTAAAACAATACAATTAAAATCTGCTAAGAATTACCACTCTGGTGGCCATTATTAGCCGAAAACCGTGGTTGGATGCTCCATCAAACTTATCCATAATCCATTTCCAAGCCATTGTCAACATTGTTATTGTCACTAGGTTCTTGTAGGTTTTTTCGGGCTATAGGGCCATGTTCTAGAGGCATTTCTCCTGACGTTTCGCCTGCATCTATGGCAAGCATCCTCAGAGGTAGTGAGGTCTGTTCTCAGTCAACTTCATAAATGTGATGAAATTGTTGGTAAACATTCCTAGTAGGTTGAACATGCTTCATCAGAATCCTTTTTGCAGATTTCTTACCAGTTTATTGCAAGGTAGGAAGCTACTGCTCCAGGTTCCAATGTATCAAGAAGCATGTTCAACCTACTAGGAATGTTTACCAACAATTTCATCACATTTATGAAGTTGACTGAGAACAGACCTCACTACCTCTGAGGATGCTTGCCATAGATGCAGGCGAAACGCCAGGAGAAATGCCTCTAGAACATGGCCCTATAGCCCGAAAAAACCTACAAGAACCTAGTGATTCCAGCCATGAAAGCCTTCGACAATACATTGTTATTGTCATTGTCCGCTTAATTACCGGAAAGCCTGGTCCCACATCTAAGTTTTTAACTTTTTTTCTAAAGGTGAGGAGGGATGAAGATGACCTATTTTCCCCAGAAAGTGAGTTGCACAGGTGGGGGGCCACCGGTGAGAAGTCAACACCAAAAGAATAATTTGAAGTCTGAGTCCAAATTTCACAAAAAGTCTGGATTTATATCTCCAGCAAGGATGCCATGTCTCCCTTCCTTGGCAAGAAAGTAGATGAGAAGGAAGAGAGGAAATGGGAAAAGGGTGTGATATGGGGCTAAAGATATAAATAGAGATACAAATCCCTCCTCAGCTTGTTCTCATGCATAAGAATGGAAAACTGCAACTATTTTTTCCTTGTCTCTGAGAAATGACGGGATGCTTTATTTTCCGCTGATGTCACCAAGTGTTCTCACATAGGTAACAAGGTTTTCTCCACATATTTCATAATGTTGCACTAATTAGTGCCTCACTGTGTTGGCTTTTAAAAATTAGAAACATTAGACAGCTCATTTGCATTTTTCTGCTCAACCAGCCAGCCCTCATGGCGCTTGTTGAGTATCTTTCCTTCCTTTTTTTCCTTCCTGATTTCTTAACAAAATTACATCTTGATAGTGAAAACCTGGAATAAAATAGGTATTCTAAATTATTTCTAAAAAATAGATAAGTAAATAAGCAACGCTTGGGTGAAATATCTGGCTCTCAGAATGAGAAAGCAATAGCACATTAATAATCAAACAGCTCTTTTACCTTTCCACCAAAAAATTCTCCATAAGCCATACAAAGCTACTATTGTCTGTTGAGTTTCATAAAGGTTTTAAAAATCACCTTTTGGGTAGAGATATTGGTTTGGACATTGGGATACAGGGGCGAGGAACTGTTGGAATGGCAACGACACCCTCTGTGAAGGCAATTTTCAGGACTGGATTTTTCAATGCTGTTTTTACTGTAGTTTTACTGTTGGTTTACTGTTTAATATTTACACAAATGATCATTCTCTGCCAGAAGGGACTAAGAGTTTATCTACGCTGACGATCGTGCCATCACCGTTCAAGCAGGGAGCTTTGAAATGGTTGAACAGAAACTCTCAGAAGCTTTAGGTGCTCTTACTGCCTATTACAGGGAAAACCACCTGATTCCTAATCCATCTATAACACAGATGTGTGCTTTTCACCTTAAGAACAGACAAGCATCCCAAGCTCTGACGATTACCTGGGAAGGACTCCCACTGGAGCATTGCAGCACACCCAAATACCTGAGAGTCACTCTGGACTGTGCTCTGACTTATAAGAATCACTGCTTGACTATCAAGCAAAACATGGGTGCTAGAAACAAAGTTGACTGGCACAACCTGGGGATCACAACCAGATACAGTGAAGACATCTGCCCTTGTGCTTTGCTACTCTGCTGCTGAATACACATGCTCAGTGTGGTTCACATCTCAACACGTTAAAACAGTGGATGTGGCTCTTAATGAGACATGCCGCATTATCACAGGATGTCTACACCCCACACGACTGGAGAAATTATACTGTCTTGCAAGTATTGCAGCACCTGACATACACCAGGAAATAGCAGCCAATAATCAAAACAATTATATGCGACCACTTGCTCAGCTGGTTCAAGATTTTGGGCTTGAGTGTTACCAGTACGCTGATAACACTCAGCTGGTGTTGAAGATGGAAGGCCGACCGGACTCTGTACCTGATTGTTTCCATCAGTGCCTCGAGGCCGTTACTGGATGGCTGTGTGCCAACAGGTTGAGGATGAATCTAGCAAAGACAGAGATCCTATGGCTGGGTCAACCGGGCAGTGGGGATATCCAGCTGCCTACCCTGGATGGCGAGGCGCTACGCCCGTCATCATTGGTAAAGAGTCTGGGAGTCCTTTTGGACCCTCTGCTGACGATGAAGGCCCAGGTCTCCGCCATTAGCAGAACTGCCTTTTTTCATCTGCGGCAGGCTAGATGACTGGCCCCCTACTTGTCCAGGGACGACCTAGCTATGGTGATCCAGGCTACGGTCATCTCAATACTGGACTACTGTAATGGCCTCTACATTGGCCTTCCTCTGTCGGTGATCCGGAAGCTCAAGTTGGTACAAAATGCAGCTGCTTGGCTTCTTGCGGGAATTCCGATGAGATGCCACATAACACCAATCTTACTACAGCTACATTGGTTACCAATTGAGCACCGGATCATTTTCAAAGTGATGGTACTCACCTTTAAGGCCTTGCATGGTCTGGGGCCGATGTACCTGAGGGACCGCCTCACCCCCTACCAACCCCAGAGATCCCTCTGTTCTGAGGACCAAGATTGGTTGGCAATTCCCAAGACCTTGCGCCTAACAGCAACCAGGCGCAGAGCCTTCACAGCAGTGGCACCATCACTCTGGAATACTCTGCCACCTGAAGTCCGTGCCTTGCGGGACTTATCAGCTTTCCGCAGGGCATGTAAGACATATCCGTTTTGACAGGCTTTTGAATTTTAATATTGCTGTTTTTAAATTGTTTTAAATTGTTTTTAAATTGTGTTAGATTTTAGCCTGTTCTTGTAAGCCGCTCCGAGCCCCAGGGGAGTGGCAGCATATAAGTTCGAATAATAAATAAATAAACAAATAAATAAAAGATCAAGGCATTGATATCTCCTGCCCATTCCCTGTTCGGATATCAACAGCACACCAAAGCCATAAATCAAGAAACAGCTTCCTAAGATCTACAACAGGGGTCCCCAAACTAAGGCCCATGGGCCAGATATGGCCCTCCAAGGTCCTTTACCCAGCCCTCGCTCAGGGTCAACCTAAGTCTGAAATGACTTGAAAGCACACAACAACAATCCTATCTCATCAGCCAAAAGCAGGCCCACACTTCCCATTGAAATACTAATAAGTTTATATTTGTTAAAATTGTTCTTCATTTTAATTATTGTATTGTTTTAAGTGTTCTTTTCACAACAAATAAGATATGTGCATTGTGCATAGGCATTCATTTATGTTTTTTTTCCTCCAAATTATAATCTGGCCCTCCAACAGTTTGAGGGACTGTGACCTGGCCCTCTGTTTAAAAAGTTTGAAGGCCCCTGATCTACAAAGACACTTGCAGGAACACCTCAGCAAGCAAGAGTCCAAATGTGGTATGCTAAAACCCAGAACCTCAATCCATGGCTGATACCAAATGAGAGACTCCCTCCTGGGCATACAGAAGACTGGGCGACTTGGAAGGTGCTGAACAGACTGGGCTCTGGCACCACAAGATGCAGAGCCAACCTTAAGAAATGAGGCTACAAAGTAGAGTCCAAGACATGCGAGTGTGGAGAAGAGCAAATCACAGACCACTTACTACAATGCGGTGTAAGTCCTGCCACATGCACAATGGAGCACCTTCTTACGGCGACATCAGAGGCACTCCAAGTGGCCAGCTACTGGTTAAAGGATATTTAGTATAATGGCAAATTTTTAACTTGGCATTATAAAAAAATTTAATTTTTAAAGTTGTGTTTTAACATTTGGATTCAGAAGTGTTTTCCCCATTGCATTGTGCCTTTCAAATGTTGCATGCCACTTTGGATCCCGTGTTGAGAGAAAGGCGGAGTATGGAAAGAAGGAAGGAAGGAAGTGGGTGGGTGGACAAAGCAATTTTTTATGTTCAATCAATGCATTGTTCCTGTTTCCTGACACTCACCAGCCACCCATGATTTTCAAAGATCCTACAGTAGGTATTTTGCAGTCCTGGCTGTTTTCTGGCTTGTTCACGTTGTATATATCTCGGCTGACTTCCCAGTTCTTGCCTTGGAATTGTGGCTTCTCATAAATCACAATCTGCATGTAAAGAGAGAGAAGTAAGGTCTAAAAACCAAGGAGGATATCAGGGTGGGACTACCTTTTTGAATGTTAGTTACCAATCTATAAGCTTTTCTAATTTGAAGCCATTATCAATGCAATGAAGTATGTAAAAGCTCAGGAACTGGGCTACATGGAAGGGCAGCAACATGGGTTGTGGAATGAGCCACAGAATGATACAGATGGAAGAAACATCTATTCAAAGTGATGGCCCACTAGCTGCCATTTCAGAAGCCACTAGCTCAGTGGTTCTCAACCTTCCTAATGCCGCGACCCTTTAATACAGTTCCTCATGTTGTGGTGCCCCCAACCATAACCCTAACATTATGAATCACCATGTAAATAATGATCTGCAGGATATATTTTCATTCACTGGAGCAAATTTGGCACAAATATCCAGTATGCCCAAATTTGAATACTGGTGGGGTTGGCGGGGGGATTGATTTTTTCATTTGGGAGTTGTAGTTGCTGGGATATATAGTTCACCCTAAATCAAAGAGCATTCTGAACCCCACCAACAATGGAATTGAACCAAAGTTGGCATGGAGAACTCCCATGATCAACAGAAAATACTGGAAGGGTTTGGTGGGCGTTGACCTTGAGTTTGGGAGTTGCAGTTCGCCTACATCCAGAGAGCACTGTGGGCTCAAACAATGATGGATCTGGACCAAACTTGGTACGGATACTCAGTATGCCCAAATGTGAACACTGATGGGGTTTGGGGAAAATAGACTTTGATATTTGGGAGTTGTAGATACTGGGATTTATAGTTCACCTACAATCAAGGAGCGTTCTGAACCCCACCAATGATAGAATTGGGCCAAACTTCCCACACAGAACCCCCATGACCAACAGAAAATACTGTGTTTTCTGGTGGTCTTTGGCGACCCCTCTGACACCCCTTCACGACCCCCTCAGGGGTCCCGACCCCCAGGTTGAGAAACACTGCACTAGCTGTATCAGTGAGTTACCAGGAAAGAAACTATTGCAGCCAATGAGAACAAATATAATATTAGTCCCTGGCATCTTGTCTATCCACCGGAGAAAGAAATTAATATATCACTGATGGCCTGAGATCACCTTCAGTTCTGTAATGATAAACATTGCTTTTGCCCTGGAGACAGGTTTTGGGATTTTTAAGAGTGTTTTCTCCCCCATCTTCTGACACATTCATGCAATTAAATATTTTTCCAGCACCTATTCGAGGAAAAGCCAATCCATTTCTAAAACAGGAAATATTGCTAATGCTACGGCTTCATAATTGCCAGGAGGTCAGCCAATCGGTTCACTGCACAGCTGGCCAAGGAAGATGGGTGCATGCATTCTGCTACGCTCTGCACAATTGGTTTTTGCTGGGAACAAGAAGAACAGGTTTCCATGATTCAGTTTGGAAACATGCACATCTGTTGCTAGTCTCCATAGTCCAATATTAACTTGGATGAAATATCCAAAGTAGGAGGATGTTTAATACAGCAGTAATTTTTGCCCAAGTTAAATGTGTCCCCTTTCAGGGGTCAAAAGATTCCCATCCCCTGGAAAAGCACCTCCCAAAAAGAGTTGAATATGGTTTTGATCCTGGAAGAAAAAGTTGGGGAAGTGGTGAGTGAACACGATTTGTGACATTCTAAAGCATGTTTTTCTAGTATTAGGAATAGTGGGGAAAATGTCATTATACACGGCTATGAGCCCCTTCCAATAGTCAAACTCTGGGAACAATGTATTGTCGAAGGCTTTCATGGCCGGAATCACTGGGTTGTTGTAGGTTTTTTCGGGCTGTATGGCTATGGTCTAGAGGCATTCTCTCCTGACGTTTCGCCTGCATCTATGGCAAGCATCCTCAGAGGTAGTGAGGTCTGTTGGAACTAGGAAAAAGGGTTTATATATCTGTGGAATGACCAGGGTGGACAAAGGACTCTTGTCTGCTGGAGTTAGGTGTGAATGTTTCAACTGACCACCTTGATTAGCAATTTCAACAGAAAGGAGGAAACCATGACAATGAACAAAATCTGGCTACCAGTATTTAAAAAACTTTAAAATTACAACCGCACAACAACAGAGAGGAAACAAACAAGGACATCTAATCACCTCTCAACAAAAGTTTGCTCCAGGCACTGTCAGGCCATTATATGCTAATCAAGGTGGTCCGTTGAAACATTCACACCTAACTCCAGCAGACAAGAGTCCTTTGTCTCACTCTTGTCATTCCACAGACATATAAACCCTTTTCCTAGTTCCAACAGACCTCACTACCTCTGAGGATGCTTGCCATAGATGCAGGCGAAACATCAGGAGAGAATGCCTCTAGACCATGGCCATATAGCCCAAAAAAAACCTACAACAACCCTCTGGGAACAATGTTTCTCCTCTGACCATGCTGCTCTGCACTCAAACTTCCTGTTAGTATATGCACTGCCTTTAAACTTAACTGACCATTCACAGTTGCATATAGATATACAATTGAGTCTCGCTTATCCCACATAAAGGGGCTGGCAGAATGTTGGATAAGCGAAAATGTTGGATAATAAGGAGGGATTAAGGAAAAGTCTATTGGCCGTCAAATTACGTTATGATTTTACAAGTTAAGCACCAAAATATGTTTCACAACATATCAACAGAAAAAGCAGTTGAGTACATGGTATTGTTATGTAGTAATTAGTGTAATTACAAATTTAGCACAAAAACATTGCAATGTATTGATACAGCTGTGGATCCAGGAGGGAAGTGTTACAGTAAGTCGTAGCAGGATCAAGTGTGTGTTAAAGAAAAACCTTATGATGTTAATTAATATGTACAGCTGGTAATGTAGGTCAGCCAGCATTATTGGGCCTCGCCTGGTGGGGTATAACTATATGGATTTTAGAATACAGTTTGGAGAAGCAATACGCTACTCTGAGGAGAAGGCTATTATGCGCTAACAGCAATGCTCTTTGCTATGGTGGAATAGCTATTTACTCTATTTACTCAAGGTTTATGTTTTGCTCTCTCATTTGAATGAAGATGAAGAAGCCTTATTCTGTGTTACTTACAAGGACTATGTAAGTTTGTTGCACTGTTTGATTTTGTATGCAACATTGCCAAGTTTAGGCCTCTGCTGATAAGAGTACATTTTTTCTGTTCCTTTTTCCTCTTGTTTGTGTGTCTTTTGCATGGGCTTTTTGGCTAAAACATGCTTTGCGCAACAGGAAGCAGACTGTGTTGGATAATACAGAATGTTGGATGAGCAAAGGTTGGATAAGTGAGTCTCTACTGTAGCTTGCCCATTAATACATTGGTATTTTTCTGTTATTGTATGATAATATATTACAGGAAGACCCCATTATATGAGGAGAATGCATTTCCTGCCAGACCGTGGTTACATGAAACCGCAGACATGGCCGAAAGCCATGGATATGGGGTTCAAGATTTTGGGGTTCTTAACTGTATATGATTTCAGTTTTCTGCGGTCCCAAGTGTGAAATCTCCTACTAGTGCACTTTAATAAGTGCTGTGATTCAACAATTTCAAACAGAAAGTATTTCTGTTTGACCGTACCTCGTAAAGGCTGATCTGGCCAGGGTGGTCCATGCCTTGGTCACCTCTAGATTGGACTACTGTAATGCGCTCTACGTGGGGCTGCCCTTCAAAACGGCTCGGAAATTCCAATTGGTCCAACGGGCGGCGGCCAGGTTGTTAACTGGCGCTCCTTACAGAGAGAGGTCAACCCTCCTGTTTAAGGAGCTCCATTGGCTGCCGTTCATTTTCCGGTCCCAATTTAAGGTGCAGGTGCTCACCTACAAAGCCCTAAACGGTTTGGGACCCGCCTACCTGCGTGACCGCATCTCCGTATATGAACCCACACGATCCCTCCGTTCATCTGGAGAGGCCCTGCTCACGATTCCACCTGCGTCGCAAGCGCGTTTGGTGGGGACGAGGGACAGGGCCTTCTCTGTGGTAGCCCCCCGACTCTGGAACTCTCTCCCCAAGGACATCAGACAAGCCCCAACGTTGGCAGCCTTTAGGAAGAGCTTGAAGACCTAGTTGTTCCAGTGTGCCTTTCCAGAATAGGAAACTCCCAGCACTTTATTAAAGATTTAAGATTGTCTGCACATCGCACCTACCCTAAAATCCTAACATTTCACCTGTCATGTCCAGCACTTTTAATTTTAGTCATTACGTTAGGCCTGGCCCTAGTTTTCAATGTGTCATGATGTATTGTTTTAATGTTTTTATTGTTACTGCTTTAATGTTTATTGATTTGCTTTATGAGTTTTAGTGTTGTATTTGTTATGCTGTTGTTTTATTGAGGGCCTTGGCCTTTGTAAGCCACACCGAGTCCTTCGGGAGATGTTAGCGGGGTACAAATAAAGATAATAATAATAATAATAATAATAATAATAATAATAATAATAATAATAATAATTTCCACTCTGTAGTCAAGTTGGCAGCAGTTTGCTCTCTTCTTGGCATGGGTTCACTCACCTTGGGTTCTCCAGCCTTTTCTACAACAGGACACCCCTGAAATAAAAAAAAATCAAAGTGTAAAATTTATAAAGGGATTGGGCCACCTTATATCCCTTCTCCATTCATAATTGCACAGAGATGAAAAAGATAAAGAGAAGGGAAGGAGGCCCACCAACTGCATTTCCGAAAAAGCAGCTCCACCCCACCTTGTCTCTTGGTAGATCAGTGCTTCTAGTCTAGGTGGCTGGATTAAGAAGACAAACAACATCCAGATGAATTATATATAATGACTATATTAAATGTAGTCATTATAGGAACCACAAAAACATGTACCTAGGTTTTCTTTTGCCTTCCTCATCCACCTTCCCTGTGTGCTCTGTTTATTCTCAAAGATAGTAAGCCTCAGGGACAGGACTGTTCAGTTTTGTTTGTTGATATGTAAACTGCTTTGAGAATTCTTTCAGATATAAAGTGGAGCTTTCCTGCCTGAATAAATATTGTATGACCTCCATCTCTAAAATAAATTGCCCCAACAAAGACAGTCTTTCTTAGTTGCTAATTGTTTAACAATAATCAATTCTTAAACAATCAAGGACTGAAGAATCAGACAGTTGGCATGTTCCTTATAAATGTTAGAATACAGTACAGTCTCGCACATCTGATATAGATGGGCCAGTAGAATGTTGGATAAATGAATATTTTGGACTAGCCATCCCCTGCCACACGTTCCTGTGGCCCAGTCTGGTGATCTGGAAAATAAAGTAATGGTTTCTAATCTATGTAATTTCTTTATGCTTGTGTGTAAACAGTATTCTTGTTGTTTCTTTGTCAGTGTTGATGTGGAGAGTGTCTGGTTTGCCTACTCTGGCACATGCAATATATCATTGTCCTTCTTTAGGGGTCCCTTTCAAATCTATGATATTATATCTCTGTGTGTGTGAATCATATATATCTATCTCTACTAAGGCTGGATGGCTCTTCGTCAGGAGGGCTTTGATTAGATTTTCTTGCCCTGGTGAAGAGAGTTGGACTGGATGGCCTTAAGTATTTTCTGAATGGTCATGGGGGTTCTGAGCATGGGAAGTTCGCCCCAATTCTGTCATTGGTGGGGTTCAGAATGCTCTTTGATTGTAGGTGAACTATAAATCCCAGTAACTACAACTCCCAAATGTCAAGGTCTATTTCTCCCAAACTCCATCTGTGTTCATATTTGGGCATATGGAATATTTGTGCCAAGTTGAGTCCACAGTGGTCTCTGGATGTAGGTGAAACACAACTCCCAAACTTAAGGTCAATGCCCACCAAACCCTTCTAGTGTTTTCTATTGCTCATTGGAGTCCTGTGTGTCACATTTGGTTCAATTCCATCGTTGGTGGAGTTCAGAATGCTCTTTGATTGTAGGTGAACTATAAATCCCAAGAACTACAACTCCCAAATGACAAAATCAAAAAAAATTGAGTGAAGGACATACATTGGGTTGTTAGGTGTATGCTGTCCAAATTTGGTGTCAATTTGCCCACTGGTTTTTGAGTTCTGTTAATCCCACAAACGAACATTACATTTTTATTTATATAGATAATTCGGAGTCTCCTACTGTTACCCATCCAATGCGGCGCTAGACACCTAGAATACTAACAACAGGGACTCAAAGAGTTAAGGCAAGACAAGACTTCGGGGATAGAGCAGCCCAGCAGGAAGTGCCCAGAAGCAGATGAGGACCATGGAAACCACAGAGGGAAGGAGGGAGGACGCTTCCAATTCCATTCCTGCCTCTTTCCCCTGTTTCCTCCCTCCTCCTTGTCTTTCCTTTCTCGTGTATTGGGAATGGATAGAGAGTTGGGGAGCACTCCTTTAATTGAAGGGGAAATACTGGAGGAAAAAGGCATCGTCAGATAAGAGCGTCGGATACAACGGTATGTCGGATAAGTGAAGGTCGGATAAGCGAGACTCTACTGTAATGTTAAAATTTGTCTCTGTAGAGTCCTTTACTTTGCGATTTCTAATTCAGGCTATGGATTTGTCAACCTTCCATTTCTCCTTCTCTGAAGACCTTGGAAGATTTTCATTGAAGACATCTGAAAATTATTCACTTTGTTGTTCTGTTGCATTGGTAACAACACTGATAATTTCAATCCACTATCAGCATCACTCCCAATTACCTACAAATGACTGAACCTAGCGTTAAACTTGGTGCTGAACTTGCTGACTGGAAAGCCAGCAGTTCGAATCTTCAGGATGGGGTGAGCTCCCAATGTTAGCCCCAGCTCCTGCCAACCCAGTAGTTTGAAAACATGCAAACATGAGTAGATCAATAGGTACTGCCTCTGCGGGAAGGTAAAAGGCACTCAATGCAGTCATGCTGGTCACATGATCTAGGAGGTGTCTATGGACAATGCAGGCTCTTCGGCTTAGAAATTGAGACGAGGACTCAATGTCAACCTGCCTGAACCGCTATTTTGCACAAGTTCCCATAACTGGATCTCAGGATTCCAAAGGAAACACTCAAGATTTGTTATCTTGACCGTTTATTAACACAGGCAAGGTTCATCACAGGAGGAAACTCAGAGGAATACTTACGAGTTTAATGGGATGTATGGAGCAGACAGAGGAGTCCTTTGCACCCCAGGCCTGCAAACTGGGATATCCACCAGGCTCCAGCACATAGGGATCATCGTCAAAGTATGGTTTGGAATACACAAGCCACCTGTGGGATATGCATAAGACAACATGAGCATAACTGACCTTCCCTGGTTTTTTGGTGTGCTGCAATGCTCCAATGGGATTCCTTCCCAGGTAATCCTCAGAGCTCGAGATACTTGTCTGTTCTTAAGATGAAAAGCACACATCTGCTTTTTAGATGGATTGGGAATCACCTGGTTTCCCCTGTAATGCGCAGTAAGAACACCCAAAGCTTTGAAGAACTTCTGTTCAACCATTTCAAAGTTACTCTGCTCTAACTTATAAGAAGCACTGCTTGAAATATCAAGCAAAAACTGGGTGCTAGAAATAATATCATACGAAAACTGACTGGAATAACCTGGGGATCACAACCAGACACAGTGAAGACATCTGCCCTTGCGCTTTGCTACTCTGCTGCTAAATAAACATGCCCAGTGTAGAACACACCTCACTACATTAAAACAGTGGATATGGCTCTTAATGAGACATGCCACATTATCACAGGATGTCTACACCCAACACAACTGGAGAAATTATATGTTTATCAGGTATTGTACCACCTGACATCTGTTGGGAAGCCCCTGGTGGCGCAGTGGGTTAAAGCACTGTGCCGGCAGGACTGAAGACCGACAGGTCGCAGGTTTGAATCTGGGGAGAGGCGGATGAGCTCCCTCTATTAGCTCCAGCTCCTCATGCGGGGACATGAGAGAAGCCTCCCACAAGGATGATAAAACATCAAAAATCATCCAGGCGTCCCCTGGGCAACGTCCTCGCAGACGGCCAATTCTATCACAACAGGAGCGATTGCTCCTGACACAACAAAAAAAAAAAATCTGTTGGGAAGTGGCAGCCAGCAATGAAAGGACCAAGGCATTGACATATTTGGCCCATCCTCTGTTCGGATATCAGCCACCATGGCAACACCTTAAATTAAAAAAAAAGCTTCCTAAGATCTACAGAGATACTTGCAGGAATACCTCAGCAAGCGAGAGTCCAATAGAGGCAGGCAAAAACCTAGCACCTCATGACATATTCTGTCTCACTAGAAACAGAATAAAATAACCTTTTAATGTTTTAAAAAAGTATTTATGGCACTTTCTAGAGCAGGGGTCCTCAAACATTTTAAACAGAGGGCCAGGTCACAGTCCCTCAAACTGTTGGAGGGCCGGAATATAATTTGGAAAAAAAAACATGAATGAATTCCTATGCACACAGCACATATCTTATTTGTAGTGCAAAAGACGCTTAAAAATAACACAATACTTAAAATGAAGAACAATTTTAACAAATATAAACTTATTAGTATTTCAATGAGAAGTGTGGGTCCACTTTTGGCTGATGAGATAGGATTATTGTTCTTCTTGTGTGCTTTCAAGTTGTTTCAGACTTAAGTTGACCCTGAGCGAGGGTCAGATAAATGACCTTGGAGGGCTGCATCCGGCCCCCGGGCCTTAGTTTGAGGACCCCTGCTCTAGAGTCTAGACTACAACTAGAAGAATACCCCATCCAAAATGGCCAGTGGCCCATGCTGTCCGGAGCATTTTGTAGGAATTGCAATTAAAAATTAATGCCTGGTAGAGACCCACATAGAATCATAGAATCAAAGAGTTGGAAGAGACCTCATGGGCCATCCAGTCCAACCCCCTGCCAAGAAGCAAGAATGTTGCATTCAAATCACCCCTAACAGATGGCCATCCAGGCTCTGTTTAAAAGCTTCCAAAGAAGGAGCCTCCACCACAGAGAGTTCCACATCTTCACTCAGGACTTTCCTGGCTGATGAGACCAATGTTTTTTTGCCAGCAGTTTTGAAATATCTTGAAATATCTTGAGAGATAATATTGGCAAACACAGATTTTGGTGCCTCAAATGTTACACCTGTTTCTGGATGTATTTGACGTGACGCCACCAGGTTTTTTCCCCCACTATCACCTCTAGTCTTTGAGATACAGAACATATGCCATCTACCAGTTGAAAATCATGATAACCATTTTTAAGAAACTAGAGCTGATGCAGTCTATCCAATACAGTTTCCTGAATCAGGGTCCCAAATAGCCCCAGGGAGAAGTATAAGAAGCAAGACACCAGTATTTTTGGTTGCGATGTGTAATCATTCAGTGCTTTTCCTCAAATATTTATTCCTTCCTTTTTTAAGAAAGAAAAGTCTTCTCTACTTATTTTATACATTCTCTTTAAATTACCAAAACATGTCAGAAATGGGTTGTTGTAGATTTTTCCGGGCTATATGGCCATGTTCTAGAGGCATTTTCTCCTGACGTTTCGTCTGCATCTATGGCAAGCATCCTCAGAGGTAGTGAGGATGCTTGCCATAGGTGCAGGCGAAACTTCAGGAGAAAATGCCTCTAGAACATGGCCATATAGCCCGGAAAAACCTACAACAGCCCAGTGATTCCGGCCATGAAAGCCTTCGACAATACATTGAACACGTCAGAAATATTAAAAATTAACTCTGTATTTTTAATTACAAAAATGTGAGTCGAGCACTGAAAGGGTTAAGTGGATGCAATGACTCAGCAAAAGCTGCAGTTCAATATAAGCAGGTATGCCTCTTGCTTGGTAATGAGATCTGGTCTGAGAGAAGCCTCAGTGGGAGGATGCCTCAGTGGGAGAATAGGCCTCTGAGTGTGAGGTAAGCCTCAGTATGAGAAGACCTCATGTGTGAAGCTCCAGTGTGAAGGCTGAACTTTATTTGTGTCATGGAAACCTTGTTCTTGTAAATAATGCAATCATATTATTTTGCTATAAAGAAAAGCCTCCTATGGAAGCAATAACATAAGCTCTGTGTGTTTTTGTTCTTTTTATCACTTTGGGCTACTGGTGCTGAGTCACGCTGCTGCTAATAAGTTACTCTGCTGTGTATTTATGAGGAGTGTTTTTGTTAATAAGCCCACTCGCCCAACAAAACATACATAGATTAAATAATATATATAAAATGTATCTCTTACAGGCCAGAATATACAATGATAGAAGCTGCTTTCAAGGGCTTGCTGTACATCCGTGTGTCTTCTGAGGAATCCGTGAACCTCTGTTTTGTGCCCTCTCCATTTTCCTCGGAAAATAAGCTGATCTCAGGCAACTTATAGTCCTGGAACAGAAAGACATTTCCACTGTTAGATAAGAAAGAGCTAAAGAATGCTTGTTTTCTGACCAAGCTGATTTACAGAGTCTAGAACAGGCATAGGCAAACTTCAGCCCTCCAGATGTTTTGGACTCAAGCTCCCAGAATTCTTAACAGCCAGTAGGCTATTAGGAATTCTGGGTGTTGAAGCCCAAAATTTATTTATTTATTTATTTATTTATTTACATAACTTATATCCCGCCCATATCAGCCCACAGGCGACTCAGAGCGATCTACATATCGGCATAATTCGATGTCATCAATACAATACAACAGCAAAAACAATTAAGTGCATTTAGACAAAAAGACAGTGCAATAACAATTTAAAAAGATCTATATCCTCTCATTCCAATCCTCATCCGTTTCATCGTCTTGGCCGTTCCTGGGTCATTCTCCGTCTCAAGCTTGACTATCTATTCCAGGGTTCCGAATACTTGCTTGAAGAGCCAGGTTTTTACTTTCTTCCGAAAAGTCAGGAGGGAGGGGGCTGATCTAATATCCCTAGGCAGGGAGTTCCACAGCCGAGGGGCCACCACAGAGAAGGCCCTGTCCCTCGTCCCCGCCAAGCGTACTTGCGAAGCAGACGGGATCGAGAGCAGGGCCTCTTCAGATGATCTTAACTTCCTGGAGGGTTCGTAGGAAGAGATGCATTCGGATAGGTAGGCTGGGCCGGAACCGTTTAGGGCTTTATAGGCTAAAGCTAGCACTTTGAATTGAGCCCGGTAGCAAACAGGCAGCCAGTGGAGCTGATGCAGCAGAGGAGTTGTGTGCTCCCTGAGCGCCGCTCCTGTTAGCAACCTGGCTGCCACACGCTGGACCATTTGAAGCTTCCGGGCCGTCTTCAAAGGCAACGCCACGTAGAGCGCGTTGCAGTAATCTATGCGGGATGTAACCAGAGCGTGGACTACCGTGGCCAAGTCAGACTTCCCAAGGTACGGGCGCAGCTGGCGCACAAGTTTTAGTTGTGCAAATGCTCCCCTGGTCACCGCCGAAACCTGGGGTTCCAGGCTCAGTGATGAATCCAGGATCACACCCAAGCTGCGAACCTGCGTCTTCAGGGGGAGTGTAACCCCGTCAAAACACCTGGAGGGCCGAAGTTTGTCCATGCCTGATCTAGAAATACATAACAAATTCCAGGGACAAAGAGGATTTACCTGGATGTGCTCTTATGATCTGTTCAGAAATTAGATTCAAAATTATGACAGGCAAAAGCCAACACGCTGCACACAAATACGAGCCAATTTAATCAGGGCCACTAGTACATGCATAAATAAGCGAATTACTGCATAATTACTCTTTTCTTCTCTTTCCGAAAGAACTGAAACTCAGGATAGTTTACAAAGGTGTGGCTTCAATTGCCAATCAATGGGCTTTCTGAGAGGAGAAAGATCTTAATTGGAAAATGAACATTTATGCTGCTTACTTTCACGACCCTCTTGAGCGAACCAATATGGAACGGCACATCCTCCGCTTCTTCCCCCTCTTCGTGGTATATTCTCCAAGGGTTTGTGATCTCCACATCCCCTTCGGCCAGCACACACTTCCTTCCGTAGTACCGTGGCTTCTCGTACATCACCCAGCTGGAGACCCCAAGAAATTGTTCATTTGGTTAGTTCCAAATATAGGGCCAGGCTAGTTGTACACAAACAGGTCCCTAGCCTTTTCCTCCAGTTCTTTTGAGAAAGCTGCCTTGTGGTAACACTAGGGTTATCAAACGTATCTTACATATTTCTTGTTTATTTGGATTTTCACAAGTGACTGGCAAATGCAATTCTGGACTATCCTACATTAGAACAAGCGTGCCAATATTCCTTCCTTATAATTATAGCTTGCCATTCCTCTAATGAGATCACGGTGGCAAGGCATGGCTCTCCACTTCCATATGTTTTTCCCCCCTAAAAGTGAGCCCAATTGAAATGTATTACTGTATATACTCGAGTATAAGCCGACCCGAATATAAGCTAAGGCACCTGATTTTACCACAAAAAACTGGGAAAACTTATTGACTCGAGTATAAGCCGAGGATGGGAAATGCAGCAGCTATAGGTCAGTTTCAAAATAAAAATAGATACCAATAAAATTACATTAATTGATGCATCAGTAGATTGAATAATTATTAATATTTACATAAAACTGTAAGATAAGACTGTCCAACTCTGACTAAACCAGTGGTTCCCAACCTTCCTAATGCCGTGACCCCTTAGTACAGTTCCTCATGTTGTGGTGACCCCCAACCACAACATTATTTTCGTTGCTACTTCATAACTGTCATTTTTCTATTGTTATGAATCATCATGTAAATATCTGATATGCATGATGCACAAATGCCCAATACACCCACATTTGATTACTGATGGGTTTGGGGGGATTGATTTTGTCATTTGGGAGTCTTGGAGTTGCTGGGATTTATAGTGCACCTAAAATAAAAGAGGCTTCTGAACTCCACCAGTGATGGAATTGAATCAAACTTGGCACACAGAATTTCCATGACCAACAGAAAATACTGGAAGGATTTGGTGGGCATTGACCTTGAGTTTTGGAGTTGTAGTTCACCTACATCCAGAGGACACTGTGGACTCAAACAATGATGGATCTGGATCAAACTTGGCACGAATACTCAATATGCCCAGATGTGAACACTGGAGGAGTTTGAGGAAAACAGACCTTGACATTTGGGAGTTGTAGTTGCTGGGACCTATAGTTCACCCACAATGAAATAACATTCTGAACCCCACCAAAGATAGAATTGGACCAAACTTCTCACACAGAACCCCCATGAACAATAGAAAACACTGTGTTTTCTGATGATCTTTGGTGACCCCTCTGACACCCCCTTGCGACCCCCACAGGGGTCTCGACCCCCAGGTTGAGAAACACTGGACTAAACCATTATTCTAACCTTCTTCAATGTGCATGTGTTTATGTATCCTTCCAATAATAATAGAATAAAATAGAGTAAAATAATAAATGTAATAATAATACAAATAATAAAGTTAACCTATAAATGTAATAATAATAATAATAATAATAATAATAATAATAATAGGAAAATAATAAATAACCTCGACTCGAGTATAAGCCAAGGGGAGCTTTTTCAGCCTAAAAAAAGAGCTGAAAAACTAGGCTTATACTCGAGTATATACAGTATATCCCAACTTGGTTGTTTATATTGTCATAGAAGTAGCTAAGTTGGATGCCACCCAAAGACACTATTGTTTCCAGGACATAGATTCAACAAAGATCAAACAACGGGAAGAGGCACATTTGCACCAAAACAAAATAATCCTAATGCAATATTGCTAAAGTAGTTTAGCATTTTGAGTATACCTCCATGGAAACTGGAGAAAGGAAGATCACAAGGGAAGGAGGAGAACCTGACATATAGGTTGGACATCCCTGATCTAGAATTCCAAAATCCAAACACTCCGAAATCTGAAATTGTCCACGTGGATTACGCCTTTGAGTTTTGATATTTCCATGTGGACAAATGCAAAAGTTTTAAAATTATATCAAACTCCAAACTATGTATGAAAGGAATTAATGAAACATAAATGGATTTTGTGTTTAGACTTGGGTCACATCTCCAAGGTATCTCTGTATGGATGTACAGTACCCATAGTGTCACCTACTTGCACCTGACAAAATCTGTCCCCTGGTCATCCATATGGTCAGCTCCTCCAGAAGTTACTTTGAAAATTCTTAAAGAGATACCTCTCTAAGCGTTTCCTAGATCCTCCAGGGCAAATCTATGGTAACTTCTGGTGGAAGTACCATATATACTTGAAGATAAGCCGGGGTTTTCAGACCTTTTTATGGGCTGAAAAAGCCCTCTTTGGCTTATAATGGGGTCAAGCTGGATGGCTGAGAATGGAGGTCATTGCTTGCAATATATGATATATGTCTCTCTCATCTTCCCCTCTCTTAACAGTGTGTTTTCTTTTCTGCTTCTGCTGTTTCTCCTCCCAGGGAAAGGAGAGGGAGACAATTGCAAGTCAGGAATATCCATCCATCTTATAAAAGCATTTCCCCCTGAAATATTTGTTAATCTCTCCTACAGATGTATAGGAATTTCTCCTTGCAATCCTTTGCAATCCCTATGTACCTATATATCTGTATCTATCTATATACATTAATGTTATAAATGAATTTCCCTCATATGTTAGCAGGTCTTTGGAAATACTATATACATATAGATATGTAGAGATTTCAATGTACCTGTATATATGTATCTATACATATACATTATTGTTATATATGAATTTTCTCCTCACATGTTTGCAAGTCTCTGCAAATCCTTTATAGATATCGATAAATATATAGAGGCACCTATGTATCCGTACAGCAGAGTGTATGTATGTGTGTGTGTGTTTGTGTGTGTATATATATATACTAGTGGTCCCCTGCCACGCGTTGCTGTGGCCCAGTCTGGTGATATGGAAAATAAAGTAATGAGAAGGTGTTGGTTTCTAATATATGTAATGTCTTTCTGCTTGTGGGTAAACAGTATTTCTTGCTGTTTCCTTGTCAGTGTTAATGTGGAGATTGTCTGGTTTGCCTACTCTGGAACATGTAACATATCATTGTCCATCTTTAGGAGTCCCTTTCAAATCTATAATACTTTATCTCTGTGTGTGTGAATCATATATATCTATCTATATCTATGGCTGGATGGCTCTCTGTCAGGAGGGCTTTGATTACGTTTTCTTGCCCTGGTGAAGGGAGTTGGACTGGATGGCTTTAAGTATTTTCTGTTGGTCATGGGGGTTCTGTGTGGGAAGTTTGCCCCAGTTCTGTCATTTGTGGGGTTCATTCAGAATGCTCTTTGAATGTAGGTGAACTATAAATCCCAGTAACTACAACTCCCAAATGCCAAGGTCTATTTTACCCAAACTCCATCTGTGTTCATATTTGGGCATTTGGAATATTTGTGCCAAGTTTGGTCCAGATCCATCATTGTTTGAGTCCACGGTAGTTTCTGGATGTAGGTGAACTACAACTCCCAAACTCAAGGTCAATGCCTACCAAATGCTGCTAGCATTTTCTGTTGGTCATGGGAGGCCTGTGTGCCAAGTTTGGTTCAATTCCATCATTGGTGGAGTTCAGAATGCTCTTTGATTATAGGTGAACTATAAATCCCAGCAACTACAACTCCCAAATGACAAAATCACAATTTTTGAGTGATGGTCACTCCTTGTGTAGTGAGACATTTTGTTGCCAAATTTGGTGTGATGTTTTTCAATGTGCTTCTATGTATTGCAAAGATGGATGCCACTGTGAATTAGAAATGCTGTGCAGAAATGTTTATACTTTGAGGCTGTGATTAAGTGAACTTGAGAAAAGTAAGATAAGGTTTGTTCTTGCTGAGAACAGAAGGGAGTAGCCAGTCTCAGCAAGAGAAGATAAGCAGATGTGAAGAGGCTTTCGGTTTTGACTAGTTCCTGAATTGTAGCTCACTGTAGAAAGACGTGTCTGATGTATGTACTTAGTAAACTTAGTTTCTTTTGTAACTCAAAGCCTGCAGAGTCCTTATTTTGCAACTCAGTGTCTGCTGATCTAGCAATCCCCGCTGGGTATCGTCAATCTCTGACTATATATATATATATATATATATATATATATATATATTCATATATGAAGAGAGGATTTGCAAATGTTTCAGGGGGAAATGCATGTGTGAAATTAGTATATATAATTATAGATTAATATCTAGTTCTGCATTGTTTATATAGGCACTGAATGTTTGCCTATATGTTGGTAGCCGGCCTGAGTCCCCATGGGGGATAGGGTGGGATACAAATGACGTTCTATTATTAGTAGTAGTAGTTGTAGTAGTAGTCACAGTAGTAAGTTATTGTTGATACTATATTGTTTTTGTTGACCCTACTTTTCCACTTACAGAGCTAGTTTACTGTTTTTCTTTGAAATATGGTAAATATTCAAAAACACTCAACCTCCAGATGCCTTGATCAATGTAATTTTACGGGTGTCTATTTTTTATTTTGAAATTTACCAGTAGCTGCTGCATTTCCCACCCTTGGCTTATACTCGAGTCAATAAATTTTCTCAATTTTTTGTGGTAAAATTAGATGCCTCGGCTTATATTCGGGTCGGCTTATATACAGTAACACATATTCAATTGGGCTCACTATTTTCCACAGTTTCCCATTTCCATGATCCTTTCAGGAATGTATTTCCTTTGGATACGGGGGACATACTGTGTATGCAAATACAGATTTTCCAAACTCCTCAGATCTAAAACACTTCTGGTTCCAATAATTTCAGATAAGAAATCCTCAACCTTCAATAAATCTGAGAAGTAGAAACTCTCAATAGTTTCAGAAACGTTTCTGTCTTCTGGAGGAGCCCTTATTTTTGTCAGTAGGATGGAAAGTAAGACAGGTTGATGGAGTAGGTGACTACCTCAAGGCCACCCAGTGAGTTTCATGATAGTCATAGTCATCATGTCCAACCTGTTATATTTTCTTTCAGGGATTTCCCCCCATTTCAACCCAGAGCCTGATTTTCCACCTGTTTGTATCTAGGACACAACAAGTCAAGCAATTGTTCACTTACCCTCCTCGGACTACGCGGATGGAAATGGTTTGTGAGAGAGGCCAGGCTGTGGCATCTGGAATATCACCCCAGATTTCCCTCTTTTCTCCCCCAAAGCCTGACTCTGAGTACAGAATGATCTATAATTAGCAAATAAGAGAGAAAGAAAGGAAAAAGAGGGAGAAGGTTACCAACAATGCAATCTCCAGAACGTGTAAACATCACTTTTTGGACAAAACCCCACAATTGGTTGGAGCATGCAGAAAATCAGTGGGTGGGTGTGTGTCAACTGTAAAATAAGATGCATGAAGCTGATTACTTGGGCAATGCCTGGGGAGCTGGCTGAGCCTGGGACTTTTGGACACTGTTACATTTTTGTTCAGGCTTGAGCTATGCAGAAGCAGAGAAAGGCAGAGTTTGGAGTGTGCGCTTGCTTCATGAGTGGCTGACAGAATTTATCCCTATGGACAAAGAAAGACCATTTTAAATCTCTCATAGAAAGGGCATTATGTGACTGGGTTGTTGTAAGTTTTTCGGGCTGTATGGCCATGGTCCAGAAGCTGTATGGCTATGTTCCAGAAGCATTCTCTCCTGACGTTTCGCCTGGCTCTATAGCAGGCATCCTCAGAGGTTGTGAGGTCTGTTGGAAACCAGGAAAACGGGGTTTCACCTGCCATAGATGCAGGCGAAATGTCAGGAGAGAATGCTTCTGGAACATGGCCATACAGCCCGAAATACTTACAACAACCCAGTGATTCCGGCCATGAAAGACTTCAACAATATATTGTGTGAGTTGATGCAACTGATCACATTGTACATATGTTGTTCTGAACTACAAAGAGTAAAACTACTTGTTCTTTACTATTCACCTGCACGGCATATTTTCTTTCTCTGGCAAGGCAGTGTGTGGGCTGATCAAACGTGAACTACACGTGGTTTATTTTACATTACACCACACAATCCACAGTGTCACTGGGGGATTCTGGCATATCTTGTTCCACAAGATAACTCTTTCCTGTGATGATATCATTTCCACCTCACACCCATCTCCCAAATATCATTTGGCTTCCATACCTTCCCTGGTCGCACGTTCACCTTCTTGACTGTTTTACTTTCTTCTTGCAGCTGAATTTAAAAATAAAATCGGAACTTGGATGAGAAACAAAACAAATCGGAGCTTTATATGTCAGATACATCTGGTTTTACATCATCTCTTTCTCTATTTCCATTCCTAATATCACATGTCAAAGACAAGCACTCGCACACATATTTAAAGAAAAGTGTTTGAGTAAACATTTTCTTTCGGGGAGGGTGGAGACTGGATGAAAGAATCTAGAATATGAATGCAGCAAATAGCACTTTGTGGGGCACATCGGATTTTCACCAGGAGAAATGGTGTGAGAATTGAATTATTAGCTACTTTTTGCTGCAAGTCACTTCTGGTTTTGAAATACATTACAACTGTACCCTCAATTCATTTCTGTTACGATACCTAAATACTTTCTGCTACTAATCCTTCCTCTAATCAAATTGTCCTCCTGCCCCAAAATTATATGGCATTTACTCCTTGTCCTTGATATCTTCCCTCTTCTTTTTAAAAGGGATGAATAGTACAATAAAGGCAAAACTTGGAAAAGCTACAGTGGCCATTAAATATTTGAGGAGGAAGTTAGGGTCTCCCAGTGGCACAACCGGTTAAACTGCTGAGCTGCTGAACTTTCTGACCGAAAGGTTGGCGGTTCAAATCCAGGGAGCAGGGTGAGCTCCTGCTGTTAGGCCCAGCTTCTACCAACCTAGCAGTTCGAAAGCATGCAAATGTGAGTATATAGATACCGCTTCTACGGGAAGGAAATGGCAGCACTCCAAGCAGTCATGATGCCGGCCACATGACCTTGGAGGCATCTACAGACAACGCTGGTTCTTCGGCTTAGAAATGGAGATGAGCACCACTCCTCCGAGTCAGAGATGACTAGACTTAATGTCAGGGAAACTTTTACCTTTACTTAGCTTCAAAATGAAGCTTTTGAAGCTCTTCGTGAAAGGCATGTGGAGAAATTCTGTCGCATCCCAGTTAAAAGATATTTTATTGCATTTATTATTATTATTATTATTATTATTATTATTATTATTATTATTATTATTCTTTATTTATACCCCGCAAAATCTCCCGTAGGACTCAATGCGGCTTACAAAGGCCAAGGCCGCCAACAATCAACGACATACAATACACAATAAACTCAAAAGCAAATAATAAACATCAAGCAAAACAATAAAACAGTAAAACAATGACACCGTGACATAATTAAAACCAAAGGCCGGGCCAAATGTAATGGACAAAAATTAAAATGCTGAACTTGACAGGTAATATGTAGAGGTATATGGAGGTAGGTGCAATGTGCAGATAATCCTGAGTCTCTAGCAAAGTGCATTTGGGACTGATTCCAGGAGTTTCCTATTCTGGAAAGGCACACTGGAACACCAGTCTTCAAGCTCTTCCTAAAGATGCCAACGTTTGGGCGTGTCTGATGTCCTTGGGGAGAGAGTTCCAGAGTCGGGGGGCCACCACAGAGAAGGCCCTGTCCCTCGTCCCCACCAAACGCGCCTGCGATGCAGGTGGGATCAAGAGCAGGGCCTCTCCAGATGATCGAAGGGAGCGTGCGGGTTCGTAAACGGAGATGCGGTCACACAGGTAGGCAGGTCCCAAACCGTTTAGGGCTTTGTAGGTGAGCACCTGCACCTTGAATTGGGATCGGAAAATGAATGGCAGCCAATGGAGCTCCTTGAACGGGAGGGTTGACCTCTCTCTGTAAGGAATATGTAAGTATTTATAATTTATTCAAAAATCTGAAATCAGAACATGCACACTTTTCCTGGCTACTGGTTGTTGATGTCAGCTGATGTCTTTTTATGTCGTTTTACTGTCTAGTTTATTGTTTTAATTATATTTTCTTGTTATATGTTTTTAATTGTTCTTGTTTTTAATTGTTCTTGTAACCCTTGTTCTATGCCGCATGTAAGCCGCCTGGAGTCCCTTCGGGGAGATGGTGTCAGGATATAAGAATAAAGTGATGATGATGATTATTATTATTATTAAAAATCTGGGAAATTCTGAAATAAGAATGTTTCTGAGGTTGCCTTTGAAGGCTGTTCGGAAGCTCCAATTGGTCCAATGGGTGGCAGCCAGATGGCTTACCGGAATGGGGTACAAGGAGCATACAACTGCCCTGTTACGCCAGCTTCACTGGCTGCAAGTCTGCTACCGAACACAATTCAAAGTGCTGGCTTAGCCTATAAAGCCCTCAACGGTTCCAGTCCAGCTTACCTGTCTGAATGTATCTCTCTCTCTATGAACCATCTAGAAGGTTATGATTGTTTAGGGAGGCCCTGCTCTCGATCCCACCTTCTTCGCAGACGTGACGGGTAGGAATGAGACAGGGCTTTCTCAGTGGTGGCCCCTTGGCTCTGGAATTCCCTCCCTAACGAAATTAGATCAGTGCTCTCCCTCTTGGTTTTCAAGTAAAGACATTGATGTGAGATCAAGCCTTTGGGCAGTAAGCAGAGCAAGAAACGAACAGGATTATGTGCAATTGACACTTGGAAAGGCCTCAGACAACGGTTTCTTGATGATGTGATTTTAATGTTTATATTAATATGTTCTTAATTCCATGTTTTAAATGTCTAAATGTTTCCGTTTTTGTTTAATGGTTTAATCTATAGTTATATGGTACTGTCACTTTTATGCTAGGTTTTTATATGTATGTTAAAGGTAAAGGTTTCCATTGACATTAAGTCTAGTCGTATTTGATAGGCTTGGGTAACCACGGAAAAATTTGGTTCTAATAATTCCGAAATTTTCCTTTTAAAAATTTCGAAATATACGAAATTTCGTATAATTATGAATCAATTCGTTAATGGCGGACGCGATTGCGCAATATGCTAAAAAAACCTCCAAATGGGACAGGGGGAACTTCTGAAGCTTCCCTCTCCCTCTGTTGTTGACTGTTGGTGTGATAAAACAAACAACAACTATAAAACTTGCACCAGACATGCGAAAATAATTACGAAATAATTACAAAATAATTAGAAAATAATTACGAAATAAATTGAAAAAATTGTTTTGAATCTAATTTACTCCTCACACTATTCCTGCATGGCTCAATATTGGATCGTAAGCTAATTTAAATACGAATTAATAACGAATTACGAAATTAACGAACGAAACCGCCCAAGCCTAATATTGACATTCAATTAGTCTAATCTCCATTTCTAAGCCAAAGAGCCAGCATTGTCTGTAGACACCTCCAAGGTCATGTGGCCAGCATGACTGCATGGAGCACTGTTGCCATCCCGCAGAAGCGGTTCCTATTGATCTACTCATATTCGCATGTTTTCAAACTGCTGTGTTGGCAAGAGCTGGGGCTAATAGTGGGAACTCACCCTGCTCCCTGGGTGAGGTACATATGCTAGTAATTAATTATTTTGTCGTAAATATGATGGAAACAGCTTTAAGTCATTTGTCTCCTCCTCCTCCCGGAGGAGAAAAGTGGTATATAAATTAAGTAAGTAAGTAAATAAATAATACATTCTGGATCCAAGCATTTCAGATAAGGGACACTCAACCTGTAACGTGTTTGTTCTAAATGTGATGTCTTTTATTTGTTTTAGTCAACTGGCCATTGCTCCAAAATCTTTGCTATGACTTGGTTTGCAAGTGTAATCTTGCAGTCTTTAAGTCAGGTGCATCTCCTCCTTGTTCCAGTCTGAAGAGGACCCCCTGCCTTCCATATCACTCTTTTAATGAGCATCACTGACTCTTTAGCAGCCATTTGTGGAAAATAAACAACAACATAATGACGGTTAAGTTCTTGCATCCTTTGTTCAAGCATACCATCACCCAGGGAGAGCTGAGTGGTTCTGACCTTGTAATCATCATCCCTTTGAAGGCAGGTTTGGCACAGGCCTCTTGGCCTCCACCTGACACTGTGCCAGAAATTCCAGGCTGAAGGTAGAAATGCCCGGTATAGAATTCCAGGGGCAGAAAAGCCCAGGTTACATGTATTTATTTATTTCGCGCATTTCTACCCCGCCCTTCTCAACCCCCAAGGGGGGACTCAGGGCGGCTTACAAAAGGCACAATTCGATGCCAACACAAACAATAAGATAAAAACATATATAAACAGCAATTAAAAACAATTAAAACAATCAATTATACATCATAATCAATAAAACCAATCTAATGCTCAACGTTAGCCAGCTCAGAGTCCGTAAATTCATTCCACATTGTCAAATCCTATCAATTCTAGTCGTCAATTGTCCTTTGTCTATCTGCCAGATTACCCAAAAGCCTGGTCCCATATCCATGTTTTTAATTTCCTTCTAAAAGAGAAGAGGGATGTCGATGACCTAATTTCCCCGGGGAGTGAATTCCACAGGTGAGGGGCCACCACCGAGAAGGCCCTGCTCCTCGTCCCCACCAACCTCACTTGTGATAGAGGTGGGGCCGAGAGCAGGGCCCCCCCAGAAGATCTTGAACTCCGAGGCGGGAGCAGAGGGAGATACGTTCGGACAGATACGCTGGACCGGAACCGTATAGGGTTTTGTAGGTCCAAACCAGCACTTTGAATTGTGCTCGGAACTGGATCGGCAGCATGTACTGCAGCACAGTAGACTAACTCAACACACTTGCAAAGAAATGCTCACAGAGATCACAAACATCAAAGAGTACACTTTTTTCCAGTGCTCTCAGAATAGTCTAGGCCACGTATGGGCAAACCCAGGCCCAGGGTCCAGATGTGACCCCTTGGGCTCTTTTCTCAGGCCCTCCTCTCTCTTACCATTCTATCCTTCCTTTCTTCTCTCTTTCCTTCCTTCCTTCCTTCCCCCCTCCCTTTCATCCTTCCTTCCTTCTTTTGTCTTTCCTTCTATCTCTCTTCCCTCCATCCCTCCTTCCCTCCTCCCTTCCCTCTCTCCTCTTCTCCTTCCTCCCTCCTCTTCCCTTCTCTTCTTCCTTCCTCTTTTCCTCCTGGGGAGAAGCAGAGGTAGAGAGGGAACATGAGAACCATGTTTCAAGATTTAAATGGATGTCCCATTGAGGAGGAGGAAGGAGGAAAACTGACTTTCTACTGCTCAAGAGACCAGGGCATGAGGGAGCAATGGTTTCAAATGCCAGGGAAAGAGAGCCAACTGAAAATATTAGGAAGAACTTCCTGAGAGTAAGAACTGTTGGAAAGTGGCCTAGGCTGCCTCGAAGTGTGGTGGAGTCTCCTTCTCTGGAGGCTTTCCCCAGAGGCTGTCTATCGGGAGTGCTTCTTGCATGGCAGGGGGTTGGACCGGATGGCCCTTGGGGGGGTCTCTTCCAACTCTACGATTATAGATCAGGAGTTGGCAATATGGGGTCTAATGGATGCACTCTTTCTCTCCCGTCCACCATCTCATCCTGACCAAGGGATCCAAACATTTCCCGTCTTTCCTTCACTTTCTGCCTCCGAAAGAGAAGAGGAAGGGGAGGAAAGGGCAGCGAGGGGACTTGGGGGGGAACCCCCTCCCTCCCGGCCCACCCACCCCGCATCGGTCCGCCATGTGGCCCCCAAGTTATAAAGTTTGCCCATGACTGATCTAGGCTGTCTTATCACTGAGAGGAAGCCAGCTCAAATTGCTTACCTCACCATACAACTGACATTTGCTCACCTGAACGTCTGGCCGGGATGGGGTCTCGGTGCCTTTGGAGCGAGCAGCCATCTCCTTGGCACTCCGGCTTGCCCCCAGCACCCGGTAGGAAGGCTCCGCTCGCCTCACCGATGGTTGCAGCTCAGCACTCCGAAGTTCATATGTGTTTTCCATTCGAGCCCCACTTGAGAAGGTCTGGCATTCCTTTGGGTTAGCTGGGTTCATCAAAACAATAGGACACCTCATATCATTCCCTTTCATTGCATCTCTGAATTGGGATTTCTCTGGAGAGATGAACCTGCTGTAGAGGAGGCTGTTATCCAAGCGGGAATAAGGCTTATTATCGTCCGCCGTCTTCTTGTCAGGGAGACCAGACAGGAGAGAGACCCCTTTGAGGACGTTGGATCTGATTAGGTTGTTCTGATTGGTCACGACGACATTTGGGCCCATAATGGTTTCCTGATCCCCAGGTCCTTGGTGCAACTTCCCCAGGAAAGACCCAAATTCCTCTTCGTTCCTGAATGTTCTACTTTCCCAAGGGTAATACATCCTGGCCTGATCTTCATTGTGAAATTGTTCATCCATGCTGAGATAAGGGTTCTCGATTTCCTCTATTCCTTCCTCAGGAAGGCCTGTGCCGTCGTACTTGAGCCCCTCTCTTTCTTCTGAGTTCTCTTCAGTGACAGCTAGCAACTCTCCAGGAACGGATGGGGGAGGAACTTGCGACTTGAGTGTGATGTGGTCTTCATGGATGGGAGGAAGGGAAGTGTTCCTTGCAAGAGTGGTAAGGCGGGGAGTCCTGGGCAGGTGCTTCAAAGACTTTCGGCATTCAGCAGGCCCCATGTTACGGAGAGTGTCTACAAAAAGCTCCATGTCCACATACTCCTCTGGTTCTGATTCTGCCACCCTGTTGCTGTTTCCATGATCATGACTTGGAGGTTTCTGAGAGGAGGTTGTGGTCTCAGCAAACGTTGTGCTTGGCTGTGATGGAAATACTGGTGAATCTTTTCTTGGGCCTTGTTGTTCTTCAGTTACCTCAGTCCACCTGGTGAGTTCCTTATTCTCTAGAAGGATATCCTGGCCTCCAGATAAAGTGGCCATCTCCCCCCTTGATTTATGACTGTCTAGTGCTGTCCCATTTGCCATTGTGCTCTTTTCCTTTTCAGACCTGCTCTCTGCAAACAAGCTGCCGTGTGTCCTGAAGACAGGTTTGATGTTCCGGCTGTAGTCTCTCTGAGGAGCAACTCCCTCCCCAAATGTGGTAGCATCTCCGTTTGATGTGAATGCAGGAGTTGGCGAAAGCGTACACCTTTCCCTCTGGGCATCACTCATGCCGGCATTTCTAGATTGAGTCACACTGCTTCCTGGCTGCGAACTTGCTGTAGAGTGATTACAAGCATCAGAGAAGGCTGTAGAGACGAACTGGGGAGACTTGGACTCAGGGACACCATCCTGAGGTTGGCTGTTCTCGTTAGGTGAAACACTTGAGACAACAGAACGGGAGGCAAAGGACTTCTCTTGCTGGGATTTGTCCCCACTTCCTGTCCCAGAGCTGGACATGACAATCTCTCGCCCTGCTCTGTAGACAGTGGCAGTCCCACCTTGCGGTACAATGACTTGCCTTTCCGATCTATATACAACCATGTTGCCACTCTTGGGAGAGTACCACTGGGTTTGAGATCTTGCGACAGTGCTGGAGCTAACAACACGGGGCAAGGGACTCAACACACAAGGCCCTGCAGAAGGTTGGGTGTTCGTGGCACTGGATGATCCTGTCCCTGTAGCAGTGTTGGTGCTATTTGATGCATCATCGCTTTTCCTCTGGGACTCTGCTGCCCTGGTGGCAGAGAGATTTTCCTCCTGGGATCCATTTGAGATGAAGATCTCTCTCTTCAGATGGGTGTTAGTTGCAACACCGCTGCAGCTTTCTCCTTGGGACTGGGCTGCTGTTGTGTCATTTGTTTCTTTATTTTTTGTCGTCATCAGGAGATTTGGTTTAGTGTCTGGGGAATATACTTGAGCAAACACAGGCCCATGAGTTGTGCAATCTTTCTGAGGGCTGAGGGAACGAGAACGCTTCCCAGATGAAATGGGAGAAAAACTTCTCGAATCATTCGGGGAAGGGGAGCGCTTGCTATCCGTTGGAGAACATGAGAACTTGGCATCAGCACCTGTGGCTTCTGCAGCAGAAAATGGCCACTTGGAATCCACCAGAGAAGGGGCTTCAGTTGAGGAAGATGGGTACCTTCTCTCTACCAGAGAGGATGAGGACCTAGTCGTGGCCGAGGAAGACATATTGCTACCTTCCGCTGAGTTATGTGAGTGCTTGGCATTTCCTGAAGAGTATAAGCGCCTGATATCTGCCACAGAAGGCAAGGACCTGGTGTCTGGAGAAGGAGACACTGGAGAGGGAGAGTCATAGCTTTCTACCATGGAAAAGGAGTATCTGCCTTCTGTTGGAGAAGGAGGGCTCTGGACATCTCCTGAGGAGCGGCGCGAGCGAGCATCTCCAGGTTGGCAAGCGTACCTGGTGTTTGATGGAGAAAGAGCTCGCCTGACATTTGACGGGGAATGGGAGCGCCTCGTCCGGGCAGGTGAAGGAGACCGCCTAGTATCTGCTGGAGGACGAGACCGCTTCTTCTCTGCTCGGGAAAAGGAAGGTCTAGGTTCTGCCTGAGCCTGGGACTTCTTAGCTTCTTCTAGGAAAAAAGACCGCCTGCTTTCTATTGGAGGAAGGATCTGCCTGGCACTGACTGGAGAAAGAGCTTGTTTGGCTTCTGCCGGCGAACGGGACCGCTTTGAATCTGTCTGAGGATGGGTCGGAGAAAGAGGGCTCCTGTTCTCTGCTGGAGAAAAGCATCTTTTGCCCCCAGCTGGAGAAACAGATCGCTTGGCATCCACCGGGGAATGACTTGGTGAAACAGAACTCTTGGCATTTGATGGGAAATGGGGTTGAGAAGCTTCTTTGGAGAAACGCAAGCGTCTGCTGTGCACGGTGGAAGTGGTGCGTCTGTTGTCTGCGGCGGAGGGCGAGTCAAGAGCATCTGTCCCTACAAGCCCCTTCTCCCAGGCCTCGAGGAGCACAGACACTCGAGATGGGCTTTGGGACCGAGAACCCCCTCTCTCTGTCTTGTGGGATGTCGCTTTGCCAAGGGAAGATTTCTCTTCTTGAGGGGACAGCTCAGTAGGTGTTTTCTTCCACTTGAATGAAGTATTCTCATTGGACCTCCCTAGCCGGTGGGTGCTAACTGCGGCCTTTTCCATGTTGCACTGAATGGGAAGCAGACCTCTCTTGATGTCACACGGTCTTTCGGGGGACAACTCCCTTTTGCTGGATGCCTGAGGAATTCCACCCGATTTGCAATAGGAGCAGTAGGTCTCAGAGAGAAGATGAACAGTTAGGTGTGTGAGAATCAAAAGATCCCCTAAACCAGCATTTCTCAACCTGGGGGGCAAGACTCCGGGGGGGGGGGGGGTCATGAGGTTTCAGAGGGGTTGCCAAAGACCATCAGAAAACATATATTTCTGATGGTCTTAGGAACCCCTTTGGCAGAGAAGCTGAAGATCTCTCCGCCTATCCTTCTCTTCCATTTTGGAAACAGACTGTGAATCCTCCCACCAAAAGCCTTCCTCCACTGTGATTGGCTGGCCTCCCAGACAAAGGGGGGGGGGCTGTTTCTGACACTCCAAGCAGGAAGAGGAGAGCAGATATTCTCAGTGCATGGCAGCATGATGCATACGTGCAAACAAGGGAGAGCATGCGAGGCTGGAGGGAGTTCCTTCAAAGCATATGGGGTCCTGTGTGGGAAATTTAGCCCAGTTCTATCATTGGTGGGCTTCAAAATGCTCTTTGATTGTAGGTGAGCTATAAATCCCAGCAACTACAACTCCCAAACGTCAAAGTCTATTTTCCCCAAACTCTATCAGTGTTCACATTTGGGCATATTGAGTATTGTGCCAAGTTTGGTCCAGATCTATCATTGTTTGAGTCCACAGTGCTCTCTGGATGTAGGTGAACTACAACTCCAAAACTCAAGGTCAATGCCCACCAAACCCTTCCAGTATTTTCTGTTGATCATGGGAGTTCTGTGTGCCAAGTTTGGTTCAATTCCATCATTGGTAGAGTTCAGAATGCTCTTTGATTGTAGGTGAACTATAAATCCCAGCAACTACAACTCCCAAATGACAAAATCAATCTTCCCCCAACCCCACCAGTATTCAGATTTGAGCATATCAGGTATTTGTGTCAAATTTGCCCAAGGAGGGGTTAAAAAGGGTCAGATATTTACATTACAATTCATAACAGTAGCAAAATGACAGTTATGAAGTAGCAACGAAAATAATGTTATGGTTGGGGGTCACCACAACATGAGGAACTGTATTAAGGGGTCACGGCATCAAAACTTTTAAGAAAGGCACTGCAGACTAATTCAACCAGAGAAGTCAGCCATAGCAGAGCACCTGATGAACCAATCTGGACACATCATATTATTTGAGAACACAGAAATGCTGGACCACTTTAGCAACCACCATGTCAGACTACATAGAGAAGCCATTGAAATCCAGAAGCATGTGGACAATTTCAACAGAAAGGAAAACCATGAAAATGAACAAAATCTGGCTACCAGTATTAAAAACTCAAAAATTACACCAGCAAAACAACAGATGGGAAACAAACAGGCACATCAAATCACTCTCAACAAAAGACCCCCCAGGCACTTCCAAGCCATCAAATGCTAATCAGGGTGGTCAGCTGAAACATTCACACCTAGCCCCAGCAGACAAAAGTCCTTTGTCTCACACTGGTCATTCCACAGATATATAAACCCATTTTTCCTACTTCCAACAGACCTCACTACCTCTGAGGATGCTTGCCATAGATGCAGGTAAAACGTCAGGAGAAAAATTGCCTTTAGAATATGGCCATATAGCCCGAAAAACCTACAACAACCCAGTGATTCCGGCCATGAAAGCCTTTGACAATACACTGTCCTAAACGTTTTGCACCTACATTTAAATCTCCCCATGCATCAATTCCAGTTACCTTTTGGACCATTTGGAAGCCATTTCAGTATCTCATCTACCATGGCTACTAGCTCTACTTGCTGGAGGAATCTAGGAATGTCAGTCCAAAAATGTAGCCATTTGCCAAGCTCTTCCTCTCCTTTCCAAGCTTTTTAAAACTGGTATTTTAACATTTATTTGCCTTTTATTTCAGCCTTAAAATTCTCTGCTCCTTTTTTGTTTAAAAAAACTTGTATATCATTATATTTTTGATTTGGGAAGGTCATCCAATCTCATGAATTCAAAATTGTAATGGTCTATGAGAATTTTCATGGAAGGCCAGGCTACCACTGATTTGAGATCAAAGGAGTGGACTAAACCTCATTCCACAGTAATTAGTCAAGGGCAAACACATTTGTGTGAGCTTATGCTCAACTGAACGCAAACTTGTAGGCACCCACATTAATTTTGACACACATCACTATATATACTTATGTATACGTTGAGGATACGTTTGGGACTAAAATTATGATTTTTTATATTGCTTTGTAATTTTGGTCCAGATCCATCATTGTTTGAGTACACAATGCTCTCTGTATGTAGGCAAACTACAACTCCAAAACTCAAGGTCAATGCCCACCAAATCCTTCTAGTATTTTCTGTTGGTCATGGGAGTTCTGTGTGCCAAGGTTGGTTCAATTCCATCATTGTTGGAGTTCAGAATGCTCTTTGATTGTAAGTGAACTATAAATCCCAGCAACTATTATTTATTTATTTACTATATTTATATAAAGTTCCTCTCAGCCCGCAGGTGACTGGGGGCAGTTTACAATTGGTGCCAAGACCATAACTTGGCCACGGTGGTCCACGCAGTGGTTACATCCCGTTTAGATTACTGCAATGCTCTCTACGTGGGGTTGCCTCTGAAGACTGCCCGGAAGCTCCAACTAGTTCAACAAGCGGCAGCCAGATTACTAACAGGAGCGGGGTACAGGGAGCATACTACTCCTCTGTTGCGCCAGCTCCACTGGCTGCCAATCAGCTTCCGAGCACAATTCAAAGTGCTGGTGTTAAATTCCTAAACGTCTCCGGCCCACTTTATCTGTCCGAACGGATTCTCCCCTATGAACCATCAAGATTGTTAAGATCGTCTGGAGGGGCCCTGCTCTTGGTCCCACCAGCCTCGCAAGCGCGCCTGGTGGGGACGAGGGACAGGGCCTTCTCGGTGGTGGCCCCTCAGCTCTGGAACTCCCTCCCACTGGAGATTAGAACTACCCCTTCTCTCCTGACTTTTAGAAAACAGGTGAAAACCTGGCTCTGGAAACTCGGCATTTGACGAGTGAGTCAATAACTCATGGCTATATGGATGGATGGTGATGAACAACGATTTTATTGTGTCGACTTGACCATTGTAATTATATGATTGTATTTTTGGTATTTTAATGTGTTAGTGTATTACGGAATGTGATGTTTTTAAACGATTGCTTGTGATATTATTGTTGGAAACCGGCCTGAGTCCCTCCACGGAGGTGAGAAGCCAAAAGTTCTAAATAAATAAATAAATAAATAATAGATAAATAAAATACAATTTCAATGCAATAAAAACAACTGGATAATAAAACCGTAACAAAATCAATAAAAACATGAACATTTAAGGTCTCCTATTAAAAACATTGTCCAATCACATCGACCAGGCCCGTAGCCAGGATTTTGATTCGGGGGGTGCTGAGTTTGATTCAGGGGGGGGGGGCTGAGGATCTACCCTAGCAAACCTTTTGTATCATTATCCCAATACCCCCATGCATATGGGATATATTGAGCATGGTGATCAGATCATGATATGAATAAACATAACAGTTTAAATAATGTACCAGTAAGGCCTTCTGGCGGACCATCCTGAGAATTTGGGGGGGGGGGGGCTGAAGCCCCTCAACCCCCGCCCCTCGGCTACATGCCTGACATCAGCCAACCATTCCATTTTCCTATATCTATTACACTATATTTGGAAATGCCTGCTCAAAGAGACAAGTCTTGACTCTCTTTCGAAACGTTAGAAGGGAGGGAGCCGATCTGATATCCTTAGGGAGGGCATTCCATAGCCAAGGGGCCACCACTGAGAAGGCCCTGCTCTCATCCCCGCCAGCCGTACTTGTGACGAAGGCGGGACCAAGAGCAGGGCCTCCCCAGACAATCTTAAAGTCCTGGAGGGTTCATAACTACAACTCCCAAATGACAAAATCAATCTTTCCAACCCTACAGTATTCAAATTTGGGTGTATCGGGTATTTGTGCCAAATTTGATCCAGTGAACAAAACTACTTCCTGCATATCAGATATTTACATTACAATTCATAACAGTAGCAACATTACAGTTATGAAGTAGCAACGAAAGTAAAGTTATGGTTGTGGGTCACCACAACATGAGGTACGGCATTAGGAAGGTTGAGAACCACTGCTCTAAAGTATTGTAAGCAGGGGAAAATGCCAAAATTTAAGTACAGCCAGCCTTCCATATTCAGTTGGGCTAGTCAAGGCACAGACACATTAACATTGCTTGGCCACACATGTTGTGGTTTTCATCTATGAAATGTTGGAGAGCACAATATAGGGAAATTCTATGTCTTCCAAGTAATTCTTATAGGTACCCAATTAACAGAAGGCTGAGCCACTGAAGACATGAAGCTGAGTTCCCTTTCGTGATACCACTCTAACTGGGATTTGCAATTTGGCGTCTGACCTTTGGATGTACTTCTACCTTTTGGCCAGAGTGGGGCAATCTTTTCTTAGAATGAATGCAGTTTGACACTATGACTGCTATGGCTCAATGTGATGGAATCCTGGGATTTTTGTCCAAAAACATCTGGATTGGCTATGCATTCTGGATTGTGAGATTAAATTAGCCACCACAGAAAACAGGTAGCTCTCCCTATTCTGCATAGAGAAATTCCTGGAGATATATGGACTTTTTAGGAAGTTATATAACTGTGTTAAGGTGCATCTACAGTATAGAACAGGGGTCCTCAAACTAAGGCCTGGGGGCCAGATACGGCCCTCCAAGATCATTTACTCAGCCCTCACTCAGGGTCAACCTAAAGCTGAAATGACTTGATAGCACACAACAACAACAACAACAACAACAACAACAACAACAACAACAACCCTATCTCATCAGCCAAAAGCAGGCCCATACTTCCCATTGAAATACTAATAAGTTTATATTTATTAAAATTGTTCTTCATTTTTAATTATTGTATTGTTTTTAAATGTATTTTTGTACTAAAAATAAAATATGTGTAGTGTGGCATAGGAATTCTTTTTTTTTTCTCAAATTATAATCTGACCCTCCAACAGTTTG